AGGTTCATGGTATGTCAGTTCTATGTATCAAACTGTCCTTATTCAACTATGCCAATGTAAATAGTTCCCATTCTATGGCACCTTTAAAGGCTATATTGTGATTATCATCTCTGTCATAAAGAAATCAGATATTTTGATACATTTTTGATGACAAAACTCAGAATCAAGGTGTATGTTCATGTTATCAGTGCTACGAACGCTGTATAATACCAATAAATTGAACAATATTGTTCCCACATTGTTGTCACCCATGGAAATAAAGTGGGCTCCTCCACCTTTAAAATCCCTGCACATGCCTACCCTGTAGTTGTCATTGCAAGGTACAACACCTGCAGAAAAGTACCTAATGTTTTTCATCACAACATTTCAAAGGTGTGCAGACTGAAGTACAAGGCCTCATTTGCCTGTAACTGAAATAACAGGTACTAGTCTTTCTGTCTTTTTCCAAGTAAAGACCAGGAATTCTGTTGGAATGGTCAGAATGTTGCTGAACAAATCATAAACTATATTGTTAGTAATGATGAATATAACTATGGCTATATCCTTTGCTTTTTCACAGACTACTATGTTTACTTATTTAGCGTCTGCTATCACCAAAATCCTTTTTTCTAATTAAAAAAAAAAGCCAAGTGACATGAAAAGATACAAAATGACTATCATTTAAATCTGAGTGTTCTCTAAGTTTTGACTTAACTGAGTTGTACAATTTTCAGCTTGTAAAAGTTTTAAATCTTCATATCTTACTCAAGAAGTTCTTAGAAAATGTAAGAAGTAGACAAATGCTGAGATATGTGTATTGACAAAATCAGTCTATCTGTATGTCGAGTCACCTCCAATCATTACATGTCTGGGAGATTTGCCCTGTAAGCATAATTGTCTGATCTTTTGTAATATATGCCAGGCAAAACAAAAATACATATTAAATGTGCATGGTTTCGTGCTATAACAATGTGATTAAATTATGCAGCTGATATTGTAATCTTGCTTGGCATACTTCAATGATTTATGAAGATAAGTCATTTATTGCTGCTGCTGACTACTGAAATGATGTACCATTAATTGAACTGGAGAAACTAGCATTGTAATAAGGAATATAATGTGGTGTACATAGGCTTACTTCAGAGGATGTAAACATAGCATTTTCTTCATGCTAATGTCCAGAGGGTTGCTATTAATCTACATAGGTCCACATACAAATACTGCCCTCTCCTGCATAATAAAATGCTAAAATTCCTTCAAGCATGGGGGCTGTGTGCTGGGGTCTTCTACATGAATGCTACATCTTTCTGCATGTTTAATAGGAAAAATGGAAAAAGTCTTGCTATAGAAAACAAAAACGCTCAGTAGTGTTACATTTTAAAACTCAAAATCAGAATTCAAAATGCTGTTCCAAGTGTGGTCAGGTGCATGAACCTCAAGAGATAGATTAGTCATATAAGCCCCTTCATTTCTTTTTGCTCTTTCCATTGGATTTACTGGATTCATTGGTAGTCAATTGGATTCAATTGGTAGGAAAGAGATTCATAATTTACAACTTGCAATTTTCAGCCATAGGTTACATGACACAAGGTTAATTTCAGGTCATATGAATGGACAAATGATACTGAACAAACAAAGAATTAATCATCTTTTGACCAGTAGGCATTTGACTGAGGTGCGTCACACAGCCTTGAATTCCAGGTGAATTGAATGTCTGTATGGTCAATCAATCAAAGCATGCATAGCATTTATTCAGTTGGATCTTCATAAGTTCTTTCTATTGTGTTTTTCCTCTGCATTCCATCATCTTATAGTGATATTTAGTTCAGACATGAACAAATTTAAAGCTAGAACCACAAAACCTGATAAAACCTTCAGCCCACTGCTACTAATTTACTGACAGCTCTCTCATATCAGATCTTCATGTTTTACCATTCTTTATTCTTTCTTTCTCCCACTGACTAATTGGACTGTATTAATTTTCTGTCAGTGGCTGGAGGGGTGAAAGAAAAATTCTATTGGATTCTATCTGATCCTGATTCTTTCTTTCATCTTAAGATACTGACACAGCCCTGATCTATCTGATCCTGCCATTTTTCTTCATTTTTTATTCACCTTCCATCCTCCCATTTGGATGCTCTTCTGATTCCAACCTGGCTTCAGGTTTCCTCTAGAGAGACTACAACATGAAGTATATAATGAGGTCACATGCATTTATAACCATTTGTGTCTCTTCTGCTTGTCTTTTACCTCTCTATCTTGTACAAACTGCAATGCATTTGGCATCATTTTGTCAGTAACAGATAGTAGCCATACTTGTTTTAATGGAGATGGGAACAATGGCTAAACTGTGAAGAGAAAATGAAGTTCTGTTCAAATAATGTATAATGCAAAGTTCTGCATGAATCCTATTAGAGGAAGAGTAGAAATATCTAGATGTGTTAAATATGGTTTGGGTTTGTCAGTCACATGCTTCTGCTGCTTTGGAATGAGTGTGTGGGTTCCCAAACCAATCAGTTTTTAGTGGAAGAAACTGGTGAAATATCTCTGCACTTACCACTGGATAAGTAATGACTGCTGGAACCAACATTAGTTGTCCCCAGGGCTGGAAATAGTCAAGTTTTACTGGGAAAACCCTAGTCCTGTGGGTTATGTTAGCCAAGGTTAGTTAGGTCTTAAATGAAATAAAATGTTAAATAACACCAAGAGGCTATCACTGCAGTAGTTAAATTCCTAAAGATATGACTTCGATTCCTAGCTCAATGCTGGAACCAGAGAAATGGTCAGGTCAACTTAAAATTAACTTACTGCACAGTTTTCTGAGCTAATGCAACTTAGTTTAACTTAGTTCCTAGTATCTTAGTTACGTTAACAATACAGTTTAGGTCAACTCACTCAAACATGAATGTGCTACCTCCTTATAAGCTGAAATTGCTTACATTTTTGTTGAATTTTTACTCACTTTTCTCCTGTCCCCAAAATGATAATCGCTAACTCACACCTACAGGCTAGGATCTCTCTACTGAATGATACTCAAAAGTTGATAAGGTGAGGGCACAGTGCTTCTTCTTCTTCTTCTCAGATTCCTGACAATGGAGGGCTGTGGCATAAATGAGATTCAAACTCACAACTTCCCGTCAACTAAGCAGTTTGACAGCTGCACCACTCTGAAGGCTTTAAAATATTTAAAGTTTTATGTCCAAGAAAAAATGGAAGGGGGGGGGGGGCAGAGTAAATTTGAGTTAGTAAACTCAAATTTAACTGTATTCTTGACTTAACTGAGTGACTGTAGTAAAAATGTGAATTAGGGTTTTTTTGTGCATGATTTAGTGATTGCATAGAGCAGTGTTGTTTTACTTGACATCTTTTGTGTTTAACCCTTCTTATTATTATTATTTATACCTTGTATGTAGAAACATAATTTGCCAGTAGAGCATGATTCTGGAACTCATTACTGAAATAACATGTCCAATTTAGATCAAATGGCAAACTTCTTCAAAACACTGTTTTTGCTACTGACCACTTCAGAACCCATGGTAGTTAACAAAACACACACACACATTAATATTATATTTCAGACCATGTTTCCATTATATACACTCACTTTTTACAAAGTATAATTCATAGAGAACGAGAAGAAAATGAAAGATGGAGGCGAGAGGATGAAGAGAATGAAAGTAATTATAGTTCAGTAAGTATGTTTGATAAGGTGTAGGCAAGTGTAAAAGTTAGATTTAAAAGTGGGGAGCTCTACAACCTCAAACTCCTATATCGTAGACCATGTGTGCGAATAAATTATGGAGTTAGGTCATTTACAGACTGAAATGAACTGATTTGAGCAATGAAGACCCATCACACCTTGGCTATACCACTCTTCAGCTCAGGAAAGGGTTTCGGTCTCTGGATCTCGTGAAAGCGGTTAAGGTAGATCATGCTAATAACACGTGTTCCTCAGCAGAGTTTAGTTCCATCTTGAATCTAACACACCTGTTTCACATAATGAAAAGCCTTCAGGAGCATCTGTATCATAGAGTAAACTTCTAGAAGCAGTGCTAAGCAGGGAGTGTCCTTGTACAATCTCTCGAACGTCTGTATTTCATTAGAATAGCCTACAAGCTGTGTGTCACATTAGAATAGGGGAAATATGAGGTCTGAATAAGCCATCATGCTGTTAGTTGAATGGAAATCGAGAGATTTTTAATTCATGCTAGTGATTAATAAGTAATTGGGTAGTGAGAGTAAAAGAGGGCAATATGGATGTAGGAAAAGAATTATACATCCCTCAGTTATACAGATGACAGCCGTAAAACCAGGGAAGTAAGACACACACACACAGAGAGAGAGAGAGAGAGAGAGAGAGAGAGAGAGAGAGAGAGAGAGAGAATGATCTAGATAATATGAAGGATTCTGAGTGATCCTGCTGTTCTTTCAGCAGCTAGAGGAACCAGCGCCGCCCAGTGGTGGAAGGCTAAACGGAAGAGCGGCTCTGTAGGAGATGATGCTATTTGGTGCTGTGCTGATAACCTCACATCGACGTTTTTGTTTTGCTGCGGTTTTCTCTTCAACTGACTGTGTTTATAAAATACGACAATAAAATAATTGTAAAATAAAATATACCAACAACACACATACGCTTGTATACGCAAATATATAATAACCGTGTTGGTTCAGATATTTAATAAGTGAACTTCCACTGAAATCCACTGAACTGCTGGACGTTTTTAACATTCACTATCATGAACAGCTGCCTTTGAAACGCTTTTCAACTCCCGCTATTACAAACATACACACACACACACACACACACCTCCAGTGGCTTTTGCATGGTTTGTCAGAGCTCCACAGATTCCTCAAAAGTTTTAAAATATCAGAACGTTTTAATGTGCTATTACAGGCCAGTATACATGTATGCTATTTCTATTTTAATCTCGATCGTGTATGTATATTTATTTTAATATAGTGTTTGTGACCGAAGTTGTTCATGTTCTCTCCCCATTGCTCGCTCACTCGTAGCTCGAATCTGCAATCGCGAACACAAACACAGCTTTGCAGGCAGCAATGGGGGACGATTTAGGAGACGAGTGGTGGACTAAAGACGAAAATTCTGAAAATTCAGGTCAGCTGTTTCTTATATATATTCTGAATTTGGCTGGGTAACATATGATCTCATTATACGCAAGTGACACTGCGGGTCACGGCATTTTATTCTAAGCAATTCGAACCGGTGTTCTCTAGATTTAGATTTAGCCTAGGGATTAACGTTACAGGTAAAGTAGCTACTACCAACAAAAGGGAGTTAATGAAGTCTACGCCTTTAAGACCCTCTCGCCAGGTCTTAGATGTAGTTTTTGTTTTATGAATTTGTAGTCCTATACTAATTTACGGAACTCATTATAGCCTCGTTTCAGACTCGCACGCACGTGGTTGGAGATCTCGCACGGCGCTGTTGCGACTGGACTTGGTTTAGTGTAGTCCATAGCTGTACGGCAAAATGAAAGCTTCAGGTCCGTTGCTATTACAGGAGTTCCAACAGTTTTTCAATGACATCTCAAATGTTTAATACCTTTAGAAGCAGCATCACAATAACCTATTACATGAAGTAGTTACAAATACATACACATTTAGTTTATTTTTTTAACAGCTATTCATGGTGGAGTTGTACATGCAGGTCGTTACAAGGCAAATTAATCCCCAAAAGAAAACGTGTTTTTCCAGATTTACACCTACTTTACCAATATCAACATTACATCTAAAAACTGAGAAAACAATTTAGGTTCACTGGCCATTTTGGATAGTAAATAAAATGGCTATATTTGTGTTATAGACATTGCAACTCCTGGTTCCTATTTCTGCCTTTGTAAAACTGAGTTGATGTGATTTATCTACAGTGTACCATTTCATCAAATCACTGAATGACCGTTTGACTTAATTATGCAGACATTTTGAAAAATCTGTTCCTTTTACCTAATAAAGTTTGACTTGTCCCAGTCAGGTGTGTCAGATGTCGAGGGGGACATACAGGACACACAGGCAACAGTAGAGGAGCCCACAGAGCAAAAAGCGAAGAAAAGAAAAATTAAATCACAGAAACCAGACAAAGCAAAGAAAAAAAAGACCATACAGGTAAATATACTCATACTTAGGTTATGTTTCAGTTCACTTAGTTATTGAGACTTTTATATGAGTTGAACTGTATGCTTCTTTTAACATTCTGTCACGTGGTTACTAACATAGCTTCAAAAATGTGGAAACAGCCAGTGTTGTAACACTAGCCTCTAAAGAAAAAGAATTTTCTTACAAACATGTCTTATGTATGTACTTATCTTTGACATTTGGAATAATAAAATGTTATGTGGTAGAAATTACAGTTCTATTGTAATATTGTTTACAGAAAGAATGTTTCATTACTAACGAAGAGACAAAAGGAGAGGAAGAGACAGATGCCAAGAAGCCTAAAAAGAGACGAAAGGTAAAGATCACTGTGTCTCCTTGCGTCTCATTCTCCTTATGGTACTGTTTAGGGATATAGGCCTTTACTTTACTGATATACATAATGAATAGAAAACTTGGATTTTTTTTATGGCTGGATGCTTCAGTTTGTCACTGAAAACTTACGACTGTAGTTATTGGCAATATAAAAGAGACATATGCATTGATTGGTGATTGTTCATATGCGCATACTAAATTATAATAATTTCTCTTTGAAAGTAACTGTTACCTGTAAGGAAAAGCAACGCACCAACAGTTGTATGAAAATAAGCCAAATGCATCCTCATTCAGCCCGTCTGCAGTAGTTGTGCATACTTGTGATTGGTGAAACGTCCCACAGGTGTGAATAAATAGGAGTGCCTGTATTTTACCTACATTTGGTGGTGCTTGGATTATAAATACAACATTGACTTCTGTGGATAGTTTTACAAATTGTTGTCATTCTATACCACTGATGGGTCACTGGGCTGTGATAATGTGAGACAAAGTAACTCTGTCATATCATGCCTTGTAAAAACATTGCATCCATTTCTGTGTTTAGAAGAAGACTATCACAGATGTGTTGTCAAGTTCAGAGCCTGTGGCAGGCTCTCCAGGTGACCTGAGAGGCCTTCTGCAGAAGCATTTTGGTGCAACACGGTCTGTTATTGAACAAGAGGAGCTCAGTCTGCCGGGTCAGTCAGTCACTGTCAACTTTTGAAGTCTAAATACAGCTGCACATTTACTGGCTGCTTTATTAGACATGTCTACCTTGTTGGTGTACAAATAGACACCATAGCTCGTCTTTTTCTAGGACCACTGTTGGCTGGATATTTATTGTTGACTGTTTTAAACCAAGCAGTGACCGTTTGTGTTTCTAGCAGTGCCACTGCACCTGATACATTCATGCCAGCAAAACATACTTTAATGTTCACTGCTATTAAGAGACAGAGCTTTCCCACAAGTCATGGTGCTTTAATCTTCAGCTGTTGTTGGCCACAGCAGTACATAAGAATAGTTTTCTCTACTTTTTCACAGTGGCTTTCAGTTCTCCTCTCACACACATACTAGGCAGTTACTCCCCCTGCCCTTCACAATAACAACATTTCTTTAACACACTACAATACATTAACATGCCACTACTGTGTTGGTCTCACTGCTGTGCTGTAAGAGGTCCACCACTCTGGTCAGCAGTGGTCCTATGGTGGTCCCATTCTATTGACATACAGGGTAGAGAGGGACTGAAACTGTGCAGCAACAAATGAGCCATGGTCAGTAATTGGATACCTACAAGATGCATCTGTGTACTGGATAAAATGGTTAGTGTATGTAGGTACAAGATAGATGACTGTAAGAACTTGCAACTCACCGTCTTTATTTTATAGCTGCAAATAACAATGATTTCCATAATCGATTAATCATGCATTACGGCTTTAATTAATCAGAAAAAGAGAAGGTGTAGCTAGTACTCTTTCAATAACTAAATATTTCTCATCAAACACAATGTTTCTTTTGACAGATTAAAAATACAAGGACCCTACATTCTAAATCATATTTTATCAAGGGCGTGGTTATAGATCTTGTGGATTGCCCTAATTAACACTGTTTTACTCAGTGTGAAAGTAGAAATAATGAAAGAACTATTCATATTCATTCACATTCATAATGAATGTTCACATTGCAGCCCAAACACTATTGTGGAGGTATTTGGATTATAGAAAACCTTTCTGTTGCTGTTCAAATGATTTCTCATTTGTTAATTTGTGTGGTTAGTAACATCATATAATCAAACTTTATATTAGCGAGCACAAAGAAACAGCCTGGCCATCAGCCATGTCAGACTTGGTGTCTGAAAGCATGTTCACCACTTGTCAAACAACAATAACTATGTAAGTGAAAACACATCAAAAGGAGTTTTTAAAATTGACATTCTGGAGAGCATTTTTGACAAACTAAGCATTCAGTTACCCTTAAAATGCTGTGTTTGTGAGCCTGAAAGGCCAAACCATAGAGAAAAAAAATCGGTGTGAATGAGTAGCTTGTGCATTAGGGCACAAACAACATGCTATATTTTAAGTTTTGACAACAATTTCTAGCATACTGAGGTTAAATCATTTTCTGCCGTGAATTTGTTTTCTGTAGTTGCTCGGTCATGACAATGGCACTGACATCAAGCTTGTGCTCGGTTTTACATGTCTTACAGGAAATCGTATTTTCAAATCATTTTAAACTGAAATGTTCCCGTATCTTGCATAACCTTGAACAGTACTCTTTGTCCGTACATGTGAATGAAGCATGCAGTGACATCAAGCCAACTAACCAGTAACATTTTTTATTGTTATTTATAACAGGGATTAGTAGTTGCAGCCCTAAAATATTTTATTAACTGCAAGAGATGATTTTAGCTGTGTAATTTTTCTTTCAGAGTCATGTTTCCTGACGAGTAATGACCTTACACACAGCTTGTCGTCCTACCTCAAAGAAGGTGTGTACAAACACTACACTTGTTTGCAAAAATGTAGTTGTTTGCCATTTCTTAAGGCACAGTGAAGTGCTTTTTGATCTATGTTTTCATGAAAGCTTTTTTTTCCCTTTTCTCTTGTGAAGTTTGTCCTAAGTGGGCTAAAGTACAGAAGCAGCACACGCAGACATGCTCTGTCTTACTGCTCATCATCTGTAGCTCCGCTGTTCGAACTATTGATCTCATCAAGTTAGTGCAAGCTTTTTTCTCTCCCATTTTAAGAGAATCTGTATGTGTTCATGTGTAGCGTTAATGGTTATCTCCATATTGTTTTAAGGCAGCTGACTACATTTAAGGGAGACGCTAAAGTGGTAAAGCTCTTTGCCAAGCACATCAAAATAGAGGATCAGATCAAGCTCCTGAGTAAAGGTGTGGTTCACATCGGCATAGGCACTCCAGGCAGAGTGGCTGCCCTAATAGAGAAAGGTTAGCTTGCCTACATGCTTTGAAAATGTTTTTATAAAACACTTTGAGCTTTTTCATTTGTTAATTACACTAATTTTACCCTGTTTGACCATTTGCCTCTAGAGGGCATAAACCTGCAAGCCCTGCATTGTCTTGTGCTGGACTGGAATTACAGAGACCAGAAACAGAGGAGAATGATTGACATACCAGAGGTAACACTCACTCACTTTGTCACATATTTTATTGTTGAAGTGCATCATGAACCACACTGCAAAAACAATATGATACTGTGATGTACAGTGGTGTTCTGTCATATCTACTGTTGCTTTGTCGGACAAGATACTGGTAAAAAGCCCATTCGATCTAATATGAAATTGTAGCACACAGCTCGGTTTTTGTCAAGACATTTGGAGTGTGTTATTAATTTTAAATTATTTTTTATTTTGTATGTGTATATAGCCAGTCTGTTGGATGAGTGCTGTCAGGGTTTTAGGGATAAACACCTGACTGGTTATATATTTTGAAGTCTCTAGCTATCTAAGCCTCTATTTGTCCCTCTCCATCTCTGTCACAGAGTACTTTGAGAGAACCCACCGAAAATCTAAGAAAAAATTCTGAACTTTATTTAAAATAGATTGAGGCCAAGAAAACAAAACCCTGATCAAAAAATATTTTTAAATGGAACATGTCAGTTATTGGCACCACTGTGTTTATTACTTTGTACAACGTCCCTTTGCTAACAAAACAGCAATGAACCTTCTCCTATACTATAATGCTTGATGAGATGTGTCCATTACGTTATTTTTGTGTGGATTTGGACATATGTTTTGGATAATTGTTGTGTAGGAAGATCCAACAATGGCCTAGTTTTAGGTTTTTGGCAGAGACTGCCAGATTTTTATTTGAAATGTGATTGTGGAGGCGGGGAAGCTGTGGTTTTATTTAGGTTAAGTACAGGCTAGCCAAGAATCGATCTTGCATGTTGGAGCACATCCAGTGAAGAGGAAAAAACATCACCATCTATTGCTGCGCTGGTTAGTTCTAGTGTTAATTCATCCAAACTACCAGTCTCCTTTATTCAAACCATGAAGAAAACATACTGATTTAATCTGCAGTGACCAAAAGTTTTCCTTCTATTGTTTCTTTGAGAAATAAAACATGTTTTCAGATGTATACCTTTGCTTATTTCTAAATTTACTTTGTGTGCTAATTTATGGCCTGCTAAGACTAGTACACCTGTTTTTGTAATATGAGTAAGAGTTGATAGCTGCCGAAGCCCCCCAACCCCACTTCTGTTTATTTGTTTAGCTAAAAATCTGTTCACATAAACTCTTATAGATACTCAAATCTCAAAATTAGTCAGAGTACACTTCCACAATACAAAATACAAATCAATATGCTGTACTTTTGAATAAATTGAACCTAAATGTGCCTGAGTCTAACAGTAGCAGCCATTGTAAACCTTGCAGTATCAACTACTGCATGTAGTGGCTCGTCTCACAAACACTTCTCTCTGCTTTGTGCTGCAGGTGAAGAAGGATTTTCTCAAACTGATGGAGAGTGGAGTCATTAAGAAGTGCCTAGGAGGAGCTGTTAAAATAGGACTGTTCTGAAGGTGCACTGTTATTCCTGTCTGCTTCTCAATACCACCAATACATCTGCGATTTTTTAATTATTATTATTATTTGCTAAAAGCTTTGTTGTGTATTGTTGTATATTTTTAGTTCTGAGCAAAAACCCAGCTGTGTGTGTTCCAAGCAAACACACACTCCACTGTTGTTTGACACCTAAAAATAAACACATGCCATTGGACAAAGAACTTGTCAGTTTGGTTCTCTTGCCTGTAGAGAATCCCTCTCACTGTGATGTGATGAGTTGAAAGTTGTGTGTTTAAATTCACAGCAGGAAACCTTTGTTGTCACAACATCCTTTTACATCCCTGCATACACACACAGCCTAATGAGAAGAGGATAACTCATAATGAGAAAAGGATGTTTGGAGTACAGAGAGGATTTAAGCTTAAGAGGAGGGTGTGTGTGGTTTTGTATGTTTTAAGGATAAAAATGTCATGACTTTGTTGCAAAACCTGATAAAAACAACTTAGTGAGGTCTATTATTAGGTCTCTATTAGGTCACTTACTCTACCAGTTCTACAGATTGGAATCCATTTGTTTCTCTGCATATTTGGTTAGCCCACTTTCACTCTGTTCTGTGACACTCTGGACCACCACAGAGCAGGTGTTATTTTGGTGGGGGTTTTTTTTGTGTGTGTGTGTGTGTGTGTTTTAGATGTTGTTTTTGGTGTTTTGGTCATGTTCAGCACTGCTGTGACACTGATGTCGTGGTGGTATATTTTGTGTGTTGTGCTGGTATGAGTGGATCAGACACAGCAGCGATACTGGAATTTTTAAACAACTCTGTGTCACTGCAAGTCTGAGAATAGTCCACCAACCAAAAAACAAACAGCAAACAACATCATCTGGGAAGTGTCCTGTGACCGCTGATGAAGGACTAGAGGATGACTAACACAAAATGTACAGCAACAAATGAGCTGTCATCTCTGACTTTAGATCTGCAAGGTGGACTGACAAGGTAGGAGTGTCTAATAAAGGAGACAGTGAGTGGACACAGTGTTTAAAAACTCCAGCAGCACTGCTGTGTCTGATCCACTCATACCAACACTAGCATGTCACCATCACATCAGTGTCACTGCAGTGCTAAAGTGACCACCCAAGTAATACCTGCTCTATGGTGGTCCTGTGGGAGTCCTGACAAACAGGGTGAAAGGGGGCTAACAAAGTATGCAGAGAAACAGATGAACAGTCTGTAATTGTAGAACTATAAAGTGGAGCTGATAAAATGGACAATGAGAGTAGATTCAGGACAATGTACTTGTATATCTACACTACTGGTCAAAGGTTTGGAATCAATGGGGCTCATTCACCAACTGTTCTCAAGAAGAAATTTCTTCTTAAAACCCACTTACACTGTTTTCATAACAATTCTGACATTCACCTTCTTTATTGGGATGTGTTCTTAGGTAAGAGCTAAATCTACACACACTTAAGAGTGCAAAAGTGCAAATAATTCTGCAGTTTAAGAACACGTCATGAATCTGACAGTTTTTCTTAGGACCTTTCTCAAGAACAAATTTAAGGAAAAACTTGAAAAGATATTGATGAATAAGCCCAATTGTTTGCAATAATGTAAAATCAGTATGGTACCAGATAAATGGCAAAAATGATTCAGTGCAACTTAACAAGTTTAGATATTTTATACTAATTATTACAAATTATTAATAGGATGCTGATTTAAGAAAAATAAAGAATGAATGCATTTTAGATGTGTCCAGAGTGATGTACAGAGCTGTAGATGATTTTAAATTGGATTTATTTATAATAAATAAATATACATAATCCCTTGTACATCTAAAGTATCAATCAACTTGACAGAAATTTAAAAAAAGTAAATTATTTAATGTCTAGTTTACAGCATTTAAATCTACATTACGTAAGTTGTTATTGTACATAAAATAACAAAATATTAAAATATTAAGTGATTCCAAACTTTTGAATTGTAGTACATTATTTAATATAACAGTACACAAAGGACCTGCAGTCAAAAATTTCAGTGTTCCCTGTCAAATTATATTTGTTGATTTCCTAAGTGAAAATACGTTACCTTCAGCAGTGGCACATTAAACATAATGGAAAAAATAAAATCTAAAATTTTCCATAATGTTTGCACAGGCCACATATTTATTTATTTATTTTTTATTTCTGATAAATTCAACAAATAAATTGTGCATTACGATATACATTCTCTGTACAGGATGTGCATGGGTTTTTGGGGGGCACCCAAGATTTACATATGACTGTATACATGACCCCGCATCCTGACATTGTATAAAAATACACTGTGCATATGGTTAATAAGTAACAGGACCTTGTTACAAAGTTCACACACTCGCATTGGGTGCTGGGAAAACCACTTGGAGGAAGTGATAAAGAGACAGAAGACAAAAACCTGTTCAATTCGCGTTTTTTTTTAATCCAGCATTTTAAGTATTTAGTAGGTGTTTGGGCGTGTGTTGATGGGTAAGGTGCGTGCGGGCGCGGGGCCCTTTGCTCGAAGGCCTGACAACTCTGCGTTTAAACAGCAGAGGCTGCCAGCCTGGTCTCCCTCCCTCACTCCACACACCGTGCTGCCCGTCTTCTACTTCCTCGCACTCGTGTGCGTGCTACTGGGTGTTTGGCTGCTCATCACTGTCCAGAACACACACCAGCTGAAGGTGAGCCACTCTGTGTCTAATTGTGTGGTGTACAAACATATAGGCCTACCTAAAACTTATAATCAAGGTTTAAAGTAGATCAAATAAAGATCATCTATGTTTGTGCCACAAGTAGGAGTGGCTGATATGATATGTTGTCATTATTATGGTAATGTCCACCATAGTGTGCTTTTTTGAGTTTGTCGAGGATATTGTCAACACTGCTACGCTGAATGAGTATATGTATTCCAAAAATAAAAAACATGGACAGCATGTAAACAATAGCCAGTATAGTAACTGCATAGTAACAAGTCTTTTTAATAAATGATTTCATAAAGATATCAATTAAGAAATAGAATAGTATTTTTTTCCCATTCTGTTTTCTACTACCTTTTTTAAACTTTTTTTAATACTTGTGATCACAGCCTTTTCAAAATGTGGCACTAGTGTTTTTCTGGTGTGTTTTATTCATTTTCACTTGTGTGAAAACCTTTGAAACACAACAGATTGCGATACTTGTCATCCATCATGAAAATGTCTTCAAGTATCATTCAGTTATATCGCTCACCTTTTCCAGGAAGTAGAAATCGGTCAGGTAATTTATTTTCATTTTAAGGCTACAATGTATTGAGATCTGATTGGTGCTACATTAAAGAATCTTGCTGAATGCTCACTAACTAAAGACATTCTATATGTACAAAAAAGATAAGAGCACAGCCATGTGGGTATTGAGTCTCTGATGAAGGTCTTCTATGAATAGCATTAATTTTCCTGTAAAATTAATTTGCTTCTAAAAATTAAAAAGCCTTTTATTAAAAGGGTTACTTTTTAACCCTTACTCATGTTACAGTAAAAGTGAAGGAGATTTTTGTCCATGGCCATGCAACAATGAATGCTTTTTAACTGACTTGAGACTATTAAGCAAACATTTACCAAATTTTTGCTAGTGCAATTTTTCCCTATATTTCTTTATATCGAGCACTTTATGCATTTTGTAAATGGTAATACATGGCCATTTATTATCTCTTGGAAGAGTGCTATGGAAATGTATTTTTTTATAATTGTCAAATGTCTTTATAGACAGAGAATCTGTTATTATATAGCTTACTGTGCAAAAAGTCAAAAAAAGTTAATCTAATTTACAGTCAGAACAGCTACCAAGTACAAGTTATTAATTTTCACAAAATATGTGTTTAACAGAAAATTACACAGAAACCTCAACAATTTAATATAATATCAAATTTATAAGTATTTAGCATGTCCGCTCTTTGCCTTTACTGCAGATTCCATTTCTTTTGGGAGACTTACTTTCATTTTTTTAAAGAAATCTGCGGGAGTGTTTTTCCACACTTCCAAGTTCAGTGTTAGAAGTTGGTTGCATTTTCTGCTTCTATTGATCCAAGTAATCCCTCCACAAAAATATGGAACAGAACATTTTGAATTCATTTATTTTAGGGATGTCATAAAAATGAGTGATTTTAACATATATCTACCTATTCAGCATACAGCAGAGTAGCTCTGTCTGTTCCCATTGAGGTTAGAAGAAGTGTTTGAGCCCAGGCTGCTTTTTCAATGAGGAACAAAACAGCGTAGCCAGTCAGAACAGAGGTCATTTACGTATAACAGTCTTGAAGGCACAGAACCAAAAGTACCCATATAATTGTGCAAGAGGTTAGAAAACTTTCATGTAGAAATGGATTATGGCTGTTTTAATACATAAGCCTACAGAGACATCATAACTTTGGGGGAAACAATAAAATATATGTAAAATATAGGACATGGTTCCTTTAAATTCAGTTGATGTGTTAAGGTTCTCATCACTCTAGTCACTAGTGTCATTGCTAAGTAAGTCTTTAAAAAGTGAACACTGGTAATGTAGATAGAGTACGTGGCTTTATGACATTTTTTGTCTACTAGATTGACTACACAGATGCTGGAGCATGTGCCACTTGCTCTGAGATGCGCAACGATCCCACCAAAGCCAAAATGAATTGTGACTGTGTAATCAACTTCAATGTCCCAAAGACCTTCCAGGTATGTTTGTGCATGCGTAAGAGTTATGGCTAAAGAGATAAGATACCATGCATTTATCTGTAATAGAGAATAGAATAAGATTTACTGATTAAGGAAAGGGCATCTTGCATCTTCTCCTCAAGTTCCAAGTCCTTATGACTAAGTTGCCAAGTTCAATTCTGTTCTCTTTCCATTTTACATTAAGCCCAATCCCAATTGCTGTTTTGTATCACTGTCTTTGTTACTGAGAAACCACAGTCTTAGCTTTAAAATGTATTATGGTTTCAAACCAGTTGCTTTTGTAGTAATGTTTTTATTTATTATTTTTTAATTAAGAGAGCTCTTTCTGAAGAGCTCAAGCAACTTTGAGAGTTTGTTCCATTTTATTTTTTTCATACACACAACAACTAAACCTCAGAAATCCATTTTCCATTACTTACTATAGAGACATTCGCTATTGTCAGAGGAAATGAGCATATATTCAGAAACAAAACTTCAAAATGGGTCGATTTCACTCATGAAAATCTACATTTCCTGCCTGTGCTCTTGTCTAGAGAGCATTCTTTAGATTTGACAGGACAATTCTTTAGATTTGACAGAAGCTACTCATCTGCAGACCCTTCTTTCAGCTTCAAGCAGATCAGCTGTCAGAGTTCTTTTCATTTCAATTATTGAATGCAGAGGGCAAAAAATCTTTATATTGCAACTATAGTGCATACTGTCTAGAGTAACTGTACCCATAGTTTATTGCAAAAGGCACAGTGCTCCCTGTGACTTAATCAAGACACTAGCAATTAAGACATTTTAAAGCTTTACACTTGCATAATATGTATTATATCTGCTAGGTTGATAGTACTTACTCACTGCATGTCTAATACTGAATCCAGGAATGCTGGAAAGGCCATATGGGGCAGGGTTTTTTATTCTATGCCAAGTGTAATTTAATGAAACAGCCCTGTGCCTCCAGGGCCCTATGTTCCTTCTTTGTAGTTTTGGAAACAGACCTGTGTTTCCAAGCCATGTGTTTCCTCATTGACATTTATAGCTCTGTCTCTTCATCATGTTGCCTCAATCATATCCACCGATCAGGCATAACATTATGACCACCTTCTTGTTTCTACGCTCATTGTCCATTTTATCAGCTGCACTTACTATATGGGTGCACTTTGTACTTCTACAATTACAGACTGTAGTCCATCTGTTTCTCTGCATACTTTGTTAGCCCCCTTTCACCCTGTTCTTCAGAGGTCAGGACCCCCATGGACCCTCACAGAGCAGGTACTATTTGGGTGGTGGATCATTCTCAGCACTGCAGTAACACTGACTTAGTGGTGGTGTGTTAGTGTGTGTTGCGCTGGTCTGAGTGGATCAGACACAGTAGTGCTGCTGGAGTTTTTAAACATCTCAGTGTCACTGCTGGTCTGAGAATAGTCCACCAACCAAAAATATCCAGCCAACAGTGTCCTGTGGGCAGCGTCCTGTGACCACTGATGAAGGACTAGAGGATGACCAACACAAACCGTGCAGCAGCAGATGAGCTACTGTGTCTGATCCACTCATACCAGTACAATACACACTAACACACCACCACCACATCAGTGTTACTGCAGTGCTGAGAATGATCCACCACCCAAATAGTACCTGCTCTGTGAGGGTCCATGGGGGTCCTGACCACTGAAGAACAGGGTAAAAAGGGGCTAACAAAGTATGCATAGAAACAGATGGACTACAGTCTGTAATTGTAGAACTACAAAGTGCACCCATATAGTAAGTGGAGCTGATAAAATGGACAATGAGTGTAGAAACAAGGAGGTGGTCATAAATGTTATGCCTGATCGGTGTATCTGCAACATGCAACAAATGAGAGCAACATCCATAATTCTACATATTTATAAAGGTGCATGGTATATGTTCAGTAAAGAATATCTGAAATTGTGTTTATTTACATGCTGCTTCCAAATAGATTCCCTTATTAAAACACATTTCAAAACATTTCATTAAGCAAGAATGATAATCGGTTCAGTGATTTCAATGTTTTTGTTATATTTTCATTTGAACAATGTTGCAAAACATTACCAAAGTTTTTGTGCTAACAATGGAAACTTTGAGCACTTGCTCAGTGACAACATCTTCCCTCTATTTAAAAACTGTTTTTGACATGCGCTTGTCAACTTCACCTCACTAATTTCACCTACTAGGAATCCCTGATCGGATTTTATAGCATCACAACTTTGTTCATTATTCTGCCAGCTTGCTAGTTAGGAAGCTAATGGCTACACAACTAGCAACAATACTGAGGTATGATGCATCATACGAAGAACTGACCATAGGGCCCTGTGAACATGCTCCCTATTACTGCATGTCATACAGTGCAGTTTGCTCAATGCTAATTGTTGGGTATGCTTTCGTTACTTGCTACTTTAGCCTCATGGCTCCAGTACAAAACTAAAAAAGCAATTGCTAAGACCAAACATGTCTTGGCTGATCAGCTAAAATTGTACAAATTTGTTTTCTGGCCTAGCTGTTTCTTCGAAGACAGTGTACCATATTTTTGTTGCTGATATTTACTCTTGTCCTCTTCTTGTTCTGTTGAAGAGCTGTCAGATAGAGGAAAAATATCTGATGTTGTGTTGTCTCTCAGGGGGATGTGTTCGTCTACTATGGCCTGATAAATTTCCACCAGAACCTGCGCAGGTACATGAACTCCCGCGACGATGCCCAGCTGGTTGGGAGAAAGAACAGCCTAAAGGTAGCTCTGTCTCTTTTCCTCTTCCACTGTCTCTTTCTTCTGCTGCCTTTGCTTGTCCCTTTCCATTTCTCATCATGTCAAGAGTAGTTCTGGATTCGAAGAGTTTCCTTTATTAGTTCTTTTCTCCAGCAAGTCCCTAGTCTATATGCCAATCACTGCAGTTCAGCCTCATCATCCTCTCACCTCTCTCATTTCTCTTGTTTTTAAGCCATGTGCATTAAAGCTATAGTTCGAGCAAAAATTTAATTTGTAGTTTTATTTATTATACACAAGATACAATATATGGACAAAAGTATTGGGACATATACACATTACACCTCCAGGAGCTTTTATGACATCCCATTCTAAAGTCATAGGCATTAATATGGAGTTGGGGTTAAGGTCAGGGCTCTGAGCGGGCCAGTCAAATTCTTCCACACCAAACTCACCTAGCCATGCCTTTATGGACTTTGCTTTGTGCACTGGGGCACAGTCATGCTGGAACAGAAAACAGCCTTTCCCAAACTGTTCCTACAAAGTTGGAAGCATACAATTGTCCAAAATGTCTTTGTATGTTAAAACATTGGTGTTTCCCTTCACTGGAACTAAGGGGCCTAGGCCAACCCCTGAAAAACCCTAACCCTAACCCATGGCATTATTCCTCTTCCACCAAACTTTACACATGACACAATGCCGTCAGACAGCTAACATTCTCCTGACATTTGCCAAACCCAGTCTCGTCCATCAGACAGCTAGATAGAGAAGTGTAATTCATCACTCCACAAAATACGTTTCCACTTCTCCAGAGTCCAGTGGTGGTTTGCTTTACACCATTCCCACTCCCGACTCTTGGCATTGTGCATTTTGATTTTAGCCTGGTGTGCAGCTGCTCGGCCATGGAAACTCATTTTGTGATGCTCCTAATGTGCAGTTCTTTTGCTGATGTTGCTTCCAGAGGCAATTTAGAACTCTTTAGTGAGTGATTCATTAGAGGATAGGCAGTGTGTGCTTCAACACTTGGCTGCCCCGCTCTGTGAGTTTGTGCGGTCTATACCACTTTGTGGCTGAATTGTTGCTCCTAGATGCTCCATTTCACAATAATAGCACTTACAATTGCAGATCTAGCAGCACAAACTGACTTGTGGCAGAGGTGGCATCCTTTGACAGTGACATGTTTAAAGTCAAGGAGCTCTTCAGTATGACCCATTCTACTGCCAGTGTTTGTCTATAAAGATTGCAAGACTATGTGCTTGATTTTATCCATCTCAATGAACTCAATGATTAGAAGGGATGTCCCAATACGTTCGTCTGTATAGTGTACATTACCCCAAATATAGTTGATCAGTCAAGCCATATTTGGTGTCTGAAGTTATCTTTTATAGTTTTCCCCTAGAGCTGTTACATACAAAAATTGACAAAACTGCCAACAAAATTCAGGCTTCAAGAAAGCTGCTACTACTGTTTTTTAAGATATGTGACATGTAATAAATTGTCAGAAACCACATAGGTAATTCTCTGTAAGATTATGTATCAGCTCAGTACAGGATTAAGCAGGTATGTGATGATTTAGGCATGCAATTTGCACAATACCAGCCTGATGACTATAAGATTCCATTGTTCGCTCTATTAGCCTCCTAGTTGCAGTGCAAAACTAAAGAAGTGAACTTCGGCTACTAAACATATCTAGGCATAAACAATCTCAAACCATTAGTGTAATGCCACCATCAGAATAGAGGTGGGCAGTATGATGATATTTATTATTATGTGCCAATTATGGAAAGGGCTACAAAAATCATTGTATTCATAGTTTTTGATCATATTTTTAAATGTTATTTCTTGTCTGTTCTTATCATACTTATCAAACGTTAGAAAAATGAAATATTGGGATGCATATCATTTATCTTAAAAATATATATCTCATGAAAAAATATCATGATGTTGTATTTTTGCCAAATTGCCCACTCCTTGTAATGTCTCCTGCAGTCCCCCAGTTCATACTGTGAGCCGTTTGCTTATGATGAAAATGCAGTGCCTATCGCTCCCTGTGGTGCCGTGGCTAACAGCATGTTCAATGGTAGGAATCATTTGCTAGTATATTGGCCATCTGTTTTTTTATGGTAAGTCACTTTGTTTGTTTGTCTGTTTTGAATTTAGATTCTTTCACACTAATGTACCATCCACCTGCTGATGATGCCGTCGTCGTTCCACTGTACAGGAAGGGAATCACCTGGTACACGGACAAAAATGTAAAGTTCCGCAACCCCTCGACAAACACGACACTCCAGCAGGCCTTCCAAGGTGCATGACTACACATACAGAAACACACATAGGCATGCATGCAAACAGTTTTAGACGTTTAATCAGGTGATCCAAAGCTGATGCTTAAATGCTCCTCACGAAATTGCTTGAGACAATGTGCAAAGCTGTAACAAAAGCGGGCTTCCTGGTTTTAATGTTTCCCTTTTTCACATTTTGCTGTTATTTTCATAGCTTCGATGTCTTTAATATTATTCTAAAATGTGGAATATAGTAAAAAAAAACTTTTTGACTGGCATTGTACTTCCTATAAACCTATGTTTCCTTGCCTCAGGTACTGCACAGCCATTATTCTGGCACCAGCCGGTATATGAGCTGGACCTTGCTGACCCTAACAACAATGGTTTCATAAATGATGATTTAATTGTGTGGATGAGAGAGGCAGCCTTCCCCAACTTCAAAAAGCTCTATGGCATTCTGAACCGTGCTCACACCTCCTTCTCATATGGCCTGCCCGAGGGAAACTACAGCATTGCCATCAGCTATAGTATCCTTATTGTACCTAGAGCCATCACTCACAGAGGAAGGTAGTATTTTTAGCTAGGAAGATGTTTAAGGTGATAGTTTGGCAAAGAATCACATTTACAGTATTCCTCAATGATCACAAACTTGTCTGCAACCATAGTTGTTATGTAATGTCAAACAGACATGCTTATATGGTTTATGTCATTATATGATGTACAGTTATCCTAAAAAACATATGGACAAAGTTCAGGCTTCAGGATGGCTGATATGCAGCATAGTTTTTCCATTTTTTAACATTTTTAAGCAGAGCTCTTTCTTCAGATGTATCTACACATTGTGGTGTAATTAAAAAAATGTAGCATACTGAGATGTGTTTAAGAACAGTAGCCTTCAACTGATCCTTGACTGCTGACACCAGATTTCCCTGTTCAATATTTTCAGGGCAGAAAGGAAGTGGTGCTTTCTACTGTGAGTTGGTTTGGTGGACAGAACCACTTCCTGCCCATTGCGTACCTGGTGAGTGGAGGGCTGATCTTTATAGCAGCCATCGTTCTCACCGTGGTCTTTGTAAAGGTGGGCCGCAGTGGTAAGAACATGGAGGAGTGAAAGAATGGACGAATAAGATAAGGAGTTTTAAAAAGGACCATACGAACATGGAGAGGTGCGAAGAAGATTAAGGACAAATATGCAGTACATCATCTTAGCACTAAGCTGATTAATTTAAAGTTAGAACAGAATTTTATTGTTGCTCACTACGTTAAATGGAAATTCCACAGATTAAAAATATCTGCATAATTCAGTCACTGAGATGTGAATGAAGTCATTCAGAGTGGTTTGAAGTGAAATGGTTCATTGTAGAGAGTCACTGAGTCAGATTTTCTTTACAATGAGAGGACCCATAGGTTCTAATATCTGCAGTACATAAATAGCTTTTTTATTTACTATCTAAAATGACTAGTGAACCTACAGGTGCATTTTATATATAGAATGTTAATAATGGTAATAAAAAAAAAGTAAATCTGGAAGGGGGTGTTCTTCTTTGGAAACTATTTTGTTTTACGTAATCCTGTATGTACTACTCTGGCTTTTACAAAATATGCCAAACCTTGTTAATCCCACCGTGCTGGAATATAGAACTTGCCAAACAGCTTCTTAATGTGATGGGCTATGAAAAGTAGGGTAGGCGATTTGACTATGTTAATTGTATTATGATGAATTACAATTTCCTGAACAAATTAGTGATCATCAGTATTTTTAGAACACTGACCAATTACATGCTCCATGATGAATTAGACCACTTGCAGATAGCAGTGGTGTTGCATTGCTAACTAAGCTAATAGAGTAGTATTGTTATATGAATGGTGTATCAAGAAGTCTTCAAGTAATATAATTTCTTTTTTTTGCAACATTGCCCACCAGGTAAGAGCATGTGGAGCAAATTCACAGATTTATAATTGTCCTAGATCATCCATTTAAGAAGATCACAGTAAAAACCTATCACCATTGCTTGTAATTCCCACTTTTATCCAGCAGAGAGCAGCTGAAACATAAGGCATAAGAGACTAAAATCACAGAGCACGCTATGAAATGTACTACATTTTTGTTAAACTTTTGTAAGATGCATATAATTTTGTGTCATTATACTTCAGTTGGATCTTGGAATTTATCTTGGAATTTAGCAAAACGCTAAATACTGGTAGCCTACTTTAATTAAGAGGGTGATCGGAACCACCTGTGTGTACAAGTGTGTTTTTCTGCTTGGGGCTACTGTGTCTATAAGGTGGGATTTCTTTATTCTTGCTTTTCAATAAGCGTAATAGTCTCCTTATGTCAAGATTGTACATAATGTATGCTGGGAAGACAAGTAAATTATATTTTTTATTAAAACTTTAATTTGCCATTTTAAATTCATTTTTTTCTATACAGTCATTCTACAGTACCATCCATAATTCAGAAAACCATTTACAGTGAATAGCAGACACACATACACATGATGCATACAAATACACACACACGCGCACACACACACACACACACACACACACACACACACACAGAAACATTCATGAATACAGTGCACAGAAACATACACCGACAAAGACATGGATACACAGTTTGGACACCCACATTCAAACTATCAGCCCTTGTGGACATTAGAACACTGTGAAACATCAAGGCGGACTATGTGTTCATGACCTCCACTGCTGTGTCACAAGATCAGTGAAAAGCAGAGATTCTGCTTGTTAATATTCTAAACTGAACATTCAATCTTAGTACCATAAAACACACTTTTCATCTCTAATTTAACTGCAGGCTTACCATTTCAAGTGGAGATATGATTGTAGCATTAGTGTTCAATCAACTATTAAAGGTTTAAAGAAAATCACACATATTGGTCAGAATGTAACCTTGCCTAAAGGCAACATTTGGTCTAACATGAGAACATTACATTGCTGGCTGGCTGATTACATTGGACCCGTTCACCATTATTTGGCATTGGAGACTAAAGCACAGTAAAATGTATTCAGTCAAAGTCCTCTGTGAATCCTGTCTGGCAAGCACATTGGCAACTTCATTTCGTATTATTTAAAGTCATCACGAAAGTGTCACATTTGGAAAGGCATTGCACGGCAACAGTGTATCTATGACAACAGTGCATCCATGAGCGCTGGACAGCTTAGCTTTGGGCTGTTAGTGGTTTGGGCACTCTACATTGCTGTCATATCTCAGCAGGAAATAAAAAAAAACAAACTCAAATAAATACAAAGCACTATTGGCTTTGAGAACAGTGACAGGTTTTTTTTTTTCATTCTGTGAGATGGGTGTGAAAGCAGGATTAATAAACATACTTTTGCATGGATGAGGATGAAAAAAACTTTCTCAAAAGAGCTAAAGCGCTGAAGCTGATGAAGAGGGATTTGTATCATTTTTCAGCAATATATATACACACCTTATGTCTGTCGTTACTGAGCCTTTACACTAGAAGCCAACTTGTGTAGATAATTAGCAGTGGACAGGCAACCTATTAAAAAATCTACTTTCTTAAAAATACTTTCTTAAATTGGCACTGTCAGATAGAGGAAACGGAAGGGATGATTTTGGACAAAACTTGTGGAGGCAAAGGAAGTGATAGAAAAAACGAAGTACAGTAATCAGTTCACCAGATAAGTCTGAAAAGAACAGTGTGAAGTACCCAATGGACATACAGGTGCTTGTTTTTGTCCACTGCCTCTCACCAGAAAGGATTTTGTGAGTAAGACTAAGGGACCGACTCCTCTCAGCTATGAAGAAAATGTTTAGGGACTCACAGTTTATGGCCAGAGAACAGTCACATACAGTACTGTGCAAAAGCCGAATACCACCCTTTGTTTATTTCATTTCCAGTCATGTTTTTCATTTTTCAAGAAATATTTCTGAGGAGATCAGATACAAAATAATCTACTTTCCTTCTACTATGAGAACACACTATGCGTCTGAAAAGATGTGCAGCTGTCAAGAAGCTGTTACTGGGAAAAAGAAATACACAAAAAAGAAGACAATCAGACAGAGAAGCTGCTAGTGTTCTCAGAATCATGGAACGAAACCACAGAGCCCAGAAAAAATAAACTAAATGTAAATAGTGAACCTTCTGTGTAGTTTTCTGTTTTCTGCTTATTTACTGATGCTGACAAAGGGGAGTCTCTGCTTTTTGCACAGTTCTGTACACACACACACACACACACACACACACATACACACCGACCAGCCACTTCATTATGTATACCTCCTTGTATCTACACTCATTGTTCACTTACCATATTGGTGCACTTTGAGGTTCTACAATTACCCACTATAGTCTGTTTCTCTGCACATGCCACAACACACACAGACAGACACATGTATGTTAAATGGAGCTGATAAAACGAACAATGAGTATAGATACAAGGTATGTGTAACTTAAAAGTGGCCGGTTGGTGTATATAACACACTTGTGCACGCATGCAAACATACACACACACACACACACACACACAATTAGACACAGACTTACATATAGAGGCACCCTAAAACAGTAGTGTAACGGTCTCCCTGTCTAACTTTGTCATCCTCTCTCTCTTAGACATTCTTGTGTGTTATTTCAGTGATAGGACTGGTATGGCACGCTATTTAAAAGACAGGAACATTTGACATTTACACAAACACAACCATGCACTCACATGCACACACTTGTCTGCATTTTCTGTGAGGAAGATTGTTTTCCTTCGGGTCAAAGTTCAGCCCAGACTTGGCTACCATGCTGTGACTGGTCAGTCTATTTCTTTGCATGGTGTATTGTGGGAATTCTGAGGCACCTGGTATAACTGCCCTTCTGCTGGTGCAGATTGGTCAGATGTGCTTTTGGGCGTGTCATACATGGACATTCCTGATTGGCTGCTGTCTGTTTGAGCCAGCAAACTTGGTCCCCGGAAGGCCAGAGTGGCTCCTGATACATGATTGACTCTGTCAATCGTGATGGGAATGGCATACTCTGCTCTGGAGGCAGGCAGGGGTTCAGCATAGGCATGGTATTGTTCAGGGGTCAAAGGTGCATCATACTCAGGGTCAGCTCCTTCCTCCGGCTTAAACGTCGATCTCTGGCCCAGAGAGGTCATGGTACCACTTACCAGTGGCTGAGCGTATTCTAGAGAAACAGATTGGAATTTATCATGAACAACGGAACAAATACTTGTCACATGTCTTTGCAGAATATAAAAAAATAGACTGCATGAGTGAGTGTGTGTGTGTGTGTGTGTGTGTGTGTCTGTGTCTGTGTGCACCTGCAGGCTCCATCTGTGGTCTCTGGTGGTCCGCTCGGGCAGTGGAGCTGTAGCGAACACACTCTTCCCCATCCAATTTAGAGGGCAATAGCTGCTTCATGCTCTTCCACCATACTGGAACACACACAAGCAAAATCTAATTAAAGAAAAATATTCACATGCAGTAAGGGGAAACAAGTATTCAGACAATTTTGTTTTTTTCTTATTTAATATACAACCCTGTTTCCAAAAAAATTGGGACGATGTGCAAACTGTAAATAAAAACAGTATACATTGATGTGCAAATCATTTAAACCCTATATTTAAAATAGTACAAATACAACATATCAAATGTTGAAACTGATAAATTTTCTCCTTTGTCATTTTTCATTTCATAACCCTTCAAATGTATGAGTGACAGGTCTGGACTGCAGGCAGGCCAGTTTAGAACCTGGGCTCTTTTACTCTAGAGCCACACTGTTGCAACATATGCAGAATGTTGTTTGGCACTGTCTTGCTGAAATAAGCAAGGCCTTCCTTGAAAAGACATCATCTGGATGGCCGCATATGTTGTTCCAAAACCTGTATATATCATTCGGCATTAATGTTGCCTTCAAAGATGTGCAAATCACCCACGCCATGTGCACTAATGCGCCCCCATAGCATCACCGATGCTGCCTTTTGAACTATGCCCTCATAACAAGCCAGGTGGTCCTTCTCCTCTTTAGCCTAGAGGACGCGACATCCATGATTTCCAAAAAGACTGTCAAATTTTGATTTGTCGGACCACAGGACACTTTTCCACTTCACCTCCGTCCATGTTAAATGGGCTCGCGCCCAGAGGTGGCGGCGGCGTTTCCGGATCCTGTTTGCATGTGGTATCTTTTTTGCATGGTAGGGTTTTAACTCGCATTTGTAGATACAGCAAAACTGTGCTCACAGACAGTGGTTTTTGGAAGTGTTCCTGAGCCAATTTCAGTGATTTCTACTACAGAATTGTGTCTGCTTTTAATGCAGTGCTGCCTGAGGGCCTGAAGATCATGGCCATCAAATACTGGTTTAAGGCCTTGTCCCTTGCATACAGAGATTATGTACCATAGATGATGAAAAACAAGCTCTTTGCTATTTTACCTTGAGAAATGTTATTCTTGAATTGTTGCACTTGTTGCCTGCACAATCTTTCAGAGAATGGTGAAGCTTTCCCCATATTTACTTCTAAAAGCCTCTCTAGGATGCTCTTTCATACCCAATCATTTTTTTTTGGTATTACACAACTTTACCAGCCGTTTGTTGCCCCTGTCCCAACTTTTTTGAAACGTCTTGCTGACATCAAGTTGAAAACGTGTATGTGTGTGTGTACATATATATATATATATATATATATATGTGTGTGTGTGTGTGTGTGTGTGTGTGTGTATATATTAGGGGTGTGTGTATATTAGGGGTGGGAATCTTTTTTTTTTCTATACAGGATTTCTTTTTTCTCACTGTGTGACAACTTGGAACTTTTAAAGCAAAGTATTTGTAATGATCCACAATTAATTTACTTTCAATATCTTTTATTAATGAAACAAATGGAAGTGATGTGGCAGTGCGTCGTCCTTTCCGAGTTGGGTGGAAGTTTTGACATCGCTTGCTCAATGGTCCTCTGGTTGGCAGCAACTACAACCGGACGGAAAATGGGTTTTCCCCCTTAACTCCACAGAAGCCAAAGTGCTTCCATACGCTAGTTCAGGGGTAGGCAACATGCGGCTCTTTTACTGGCCGGTTGCGGTTCCACATCAGAATTAGATTTCTAGGTAAAAATATAATAATCCTCCTTTGCAGTAAAATAAAGCTTTGCTGATCATTCTAACAGTTTTAACAACAGATTATCTTAAACGCTGGAATTAATGTAGCCTATAACTACTAGTTTACCTAGCTAGTAGCTAACAAAAAGGCAAAGAGAAAGATTAAAGACAAACATTGATCAGTTGGAAATGAATGGAATTTGTATTTATGAATTTGCATTTGTAATCAGTCATCTGGTTTCCTGATACATTTAATCTGCAGCGAGAAACTGTTAAAAAGTCCAGCAGCACCGCTGTGTCTGATCCACTCATACCAGCGCAACACACACTAACACACCACCACCACGTCAGTGTTACTGCAGTGCTGAGCATGATCCACCACCCAAATAGTACCTGCTCTGTGAGGGTCCATGGGGGTCCTTACCACTGAAGAACAGGGTAAAAGGGGGCTAATAAAGTATGCAGAGAAACAGATGGACTACAGTCTGTAATTGAAGAACTACAAAGTGCACCCATATAGTAAGAGGAGCTGATAAAATGGACAATGAGCGTAGAAACAAGGAAGTGGTCATAATGTTATGCCTGATTGGTGTATATATAAGTGTATATATTAGGGGTGCGGGAAAAACTCGATTCTTAGATGCATCGCGATGCGGAAGTGAATCGATTCATAAATGTCAAAAATGGATTTTCTAAATATTTAATTTATAACGTAATGTTGACGGAACGCAAAAGGCGGAACTGGAAGTGGGTAAGTGCAGCGCCCGGACAGTCTGTGGCGGCACATAACAAAAACACAGCTGGATGAGTGAGAAATCCAACCGGCTCCCCCTGCATTAAAGCCAGGTTAGATCAGGAGTCACAACCCAAATGATAAGAAGAGCCATTTTGTCCTTTCAACAAAGTCAAACCACCTCGGGAGCCACAACATTTAATGCCCAGTATGTCTTAGTATGTATTAATGTCCTAGTATGGGCTAAAAATAGAAACGAGAGCGCAGATTTACTTTGCTCTGCTTTAAGCTGTGGCTACAGCCGCTTTCCTTCCATCTCCGCCAGAAAACTTTTCTTCAAAAATAGAAGAGTTTCTTGTAAAATGTCTCAGCATCCGGCTGTTTTACGAGGCTGAAGTCGCTTCTCATTCGCCAGCTTCTCGTTCTAATTTTCCGGTTCCACCTTAAATTCTGCCTTAGGCGCCGAATGTAACTGCTGCACCATTTAAGGTGGAAAGGGAAAATTCAAAAGAGAAGGGAGTTCATTTTCGCAACTTTTTAGAGAAAGACAGTCTCTCATTGTAGATTTAACCAACCGCGCTGCTTATAAATGCGAATAGTCCTCCAAATGTTCATCTTAATCTCTGTTTTTTCGTTCGCTACTGGCGAGGCCAGACTTCGGGGCTATGTGACCTGCTGTCTGCTGTCTGTTCTCAGTCGTTGAGAACCAGGGCTTCCGCGCTATGCTGCACACTTTGGAGCCGAGATTCAGCGTCCAGTCGGGAAGGATGGCTGTAACGTGCTGCGTGGACACCCATTACCACTGGATCTTATTTCAGGGCAACAGCGCATTTTATCGCAGATGAGTGGCAGTAGCGTCTCTGAATGAGAGCCTTCTAGTTCACTTGCCACATCACTTCCATTTGATTTATTAATAAAAGATATTTTAGATATTTAAAGCAAAGTATTTGTAATGATCCATAATACATTTACACTATGGATCATTACAAATACTTTGCTTTGAAACTACCAAGTTTTTAGACAGCAGGAAGATAGAAATCCTGTATAGAGAAAAAGATGCATCGAGATGCATTGATAATCGTTTTATAATCGCATCGCATCCCTCTGAATCGTAATCGAATCGAATCGTGAGGTGCCTAAAGATTCCTACCCCTAGTGTGTATATATATATATATATATATATATATAGAGAGAGAGAGAGAGAGAGAGAGAGAGAGAGAGAGAGAGAACACATTATTGAACAACACTCAAATGGAAACAGCTACATAGTCATAGCAAAGACCCTAAACATTCAATCAGTACAACTGGTCTAATAATATGTAAGTGGAAAGTTAATAGAACCACAACTTATCATCCTGGGACAGGTAAAATCTTCCCACTCCATGGCAACATCTTTTATGATGACAACAGGTAGTGTCTGAATACTTTTTTCCCCTCTCAATTTCATTTTTAATCATCTTTGTTTATGCTTATGACTACATACTTTTCTATATTCAAAAGTACAAAGACAAAAGACATTGTGTGTAAATTTGAAGTGGATATATGCACTGAAAGTATATTAACTAAAAAGAAAAGTCTCTGTACGTGTTTCCCCTCACTGTATAGTTATGTATGACTAATGACATCCAAGACATCTCAGCCAAGTGTGTACAATACCTGTGCGATCCCAGTGTGGAAGGTCATAGGTCACTTCAGGGCTTTTCCTTTGACAGAATATACACAGTAAAAATCAAAAGGATAATAAAGGATTAACTGTATAGCCAAGTCAGCTGTATGTTACAAATCCCATATAGAGTGTATGATGGACATATGCTAAAGCAGTAACAAGAAACCACCTGGTATATCAGATCTGGTATATTCAGATAAGCTCAGCTTGTCTATACAGCTTGTAACATGGTTCAGCAGTGTTAGCATGGAGGTGCATGTAGTACTGACCTACTCTTCCACAGCCATGCACACACTATGACTAGCACTGGAGCAGTGAGAATCACCACCAGCACAGGAACCAATACTGCCACGAGTGCCACCTCTGAAACAGACAAACAACAGAACACCACTTAGATAGATGATGCAGTTAGCATTTCACAACTTGTCCTTGGCAGCAACAAAAATAATTGGAAATGTCCTTAAAAAAAACTACATAAACACACACATATATATATATATATATATATATCCTTAAATTGTCTCCAGATCTGCAACTTGCTTTTATCTCTATCTATAGGAATGACAACTGATATGCATCATAGGTTGTATTATTACACATCTGTATGCAAACATTTGAACAAACATAAATATCGCATTTTCTGCAGTTTGTATTTTATTTTATTAAATTTTTGCTGAGTTTAACATATTGGAAAAAAAAACGTTATGTTTTTTCCTATGTTAAATTAAGAAAGTCAACAAAACATGTAATTTGACAATGAATGACCAAACTTTTGAATACAACTGTATAATCTAACAATGGCAAATACTAAGATTTGGTCTCACCATTATGAGGGTGCTGGGGCATGGTGGTGTTTCGAACACTGGGTGTGTGTGTTGTCCGGCCCTGTAATGGAGGTATAGTGCTTCTTTGTGGAGGAGGAGCTGCAGGGTAGAATATTCGTGGCCTCGCTGACCAATAAAAACAGAGAAAAGCAATAAGTCTAAAGTAGAAAGGTCTAACTCGATACCTTGTTTGATTACTAACCAGTATAAAGGTGTGTGATTGTTCCTACCTGTATGTAACTGACAGCCAAGCAGCTCCATTTTGAGGGCAATCCGCTGGTGCCACTGGGAGGGGCATATTCTAATAAACCGGGCTATAATTGGAGGAATGAAGTTATTCCGCACTTCCTGAAGGTAGTTGGTGTTTCCTTGGAAAACCTGACAGTCAATGGCCACAAAAACAGTGAACATTTAGCCTTTATCCAAATCAGCTCACAATGTGTGTAGTTTCATAAGACAATGCATGTTTTTGTGTGCTTCAACATTTTTTATCTATTTAAAATGAAAAACTGAATTGTAACTTTTATTAAATAAATTCAACTACTGTTTTACAAATAGGGATGGGTGTGGTCATTTGAATATACTGACATTCAAACGTATCATGGTATTTGTTTACTGGATAGGGTATACCTTGTATAGAATGGCCCCACAAAGTATTTGGACACTTTGACCACTTAACCATTGGTAAACTTTAATGAATTACTTCAGAGAGAGCATGGAGAAAAATTCCAACCAAAGGTGGAAACGTCAAAGTCTGGGGCTGTTTTTCTTACAATGATGCCAGTGAGCTCACATGAGCATCGCTAGGGGTGGGCCTTGTTTCGAAACCAGCCAGAAATGATTTTGTTCCATCTCAAGTGTATTAAAATAAAAGCTTTTTTTTACCACTACTATCACTTTAAAAGTTTATAATGCAGATCCCACAGTATTCGGCCCCTCTTCTCAGACCCACACCACACTAAAGCATGAAGGCTCTGAAGAAAGATGTTACATTAGACATCGATAAATGTGCGTTTTTCCAAAAGCAGATTCAAAAGGAGACTGAAGTTGTAGAAGAAGAGTCTCCGATTTTACATATTTCATGTTAGTGAAGGGCAAGGCAGGACTTTTAAAAACATTTTAGTGGAGAAATTATTTGAAAATATTCAGCCAAGTTAGCCAGTTAGGTATTAATTCCCTAGTTAAATACTTTAGCATTGAGTATATCCTAGATTAAGCTTTATCTTAAATAACAAACCTGGTGCTTGGTGCTTTTCTAACAGTATATGGCTTGGTTAAGGATTAACCCAGGATTAAAAAAGTTAACAGTAAATCACACTGTCCATGTTTCATTTGGAGGATATACTTTCTTGCTGTGAGGTGCTTTTTTGCACAAAGATCTGGAGTCCTCTTTTTTTGGCCTCAAATTGCCTGAAAATGTTGTGTGTAGCTGATGTAGATAGCTGGGTGAGCCTCTGTTCACTAATGTGATCACAAATTCAGAAGTGTTCAAAGGCATTTCAGATGCAAAATAACAGTCTGCAAAGAGATTGCTCAAATGATAAAAATCTGTGCCACACCAGCCACCTTTTTAAAGAATAGTTTGACATTTGCCTTGGAAGAGTCTGTTTGTACAACGCCACTTGGTTTGAAAATCCGTTTCCTAATACAATTAACCTAATACCTTTTTTAGTATAGCACAAGTGACCAAATACTTTTTATGGCCACTGTAAAAATATTTCATCAGACACAAAGTTGTGTGTCTCTGATTCATCATTCTGTAGTTGAATCATATATTCCCAAAACATGATTATAAATAACCAAGTCAATCAAACAATCAGGTGTAGATTCCCTTAAATGCTAGCTAGATGCAATGAACATTAAAATCTTTAGTTTTTCTTTTGTTTTTTACCCATAACAATATAATATTTTTTTTCCCCAGAATCTTTGAATACTACTGGTTAAAATGCCTATTTCTACTTTAAACAGAGTATTGCATCATTGTGAGACCAGTGGTTTACAGCCCTCCTCTTAATTGCAGTCAATCGATGCCAATCAATGGCTATTTATTATTAATGAGCAGTGAGTGCACTTAAGCACTCTAAAATGTTATGTACAATTTCCCACAACCCGATCTAAAGGCACAAGAGATAAAAGAAAAGATGTCCGACATGGAGGTATGTACGCAGCACTTTCTACCTTCTCTTGATTTGAGCCTGCTTCCTGATAGGCTGTCCAGTCCTGTCCATTACTGCTGTAGTGCACATGATAAGTAGAAACATAAAACTGGTACTCAGGTAGGGTGGAGCCAGTGGTGATTATTCCTGAATAAGAGAGCAGATTGATTGTTAGCATCCTTCACTGAAGTCCCCCTACCCCTCTGCCGCCTTCTCATTTTTACCTGTTACTTTTTTGTCTCTCTTCAGATCCACCTGTACCCACTGTTTTGAGTCACTATTCGCAGCTGCCCATGGAAGCCCCACCCTTTTCAGCCGAGACCCCGAGGGTGCCCAAACAGATGGCTTGTCGCCATGACGACCCCACTCCCACACAGAGGAGGCGGAGATCTGAGAGTCACTGACCACACCCGACTCCAGACCCAGAGTGCCATAACAGCCTGCCATGGTACAAACAGACAAAGAGATTTTACAATATGTTTTTGTGTTGTTTTAATAAATGAACATGTTTTCTTTGTCAATTTGCAATGACTTTAATATTAAGGTCTAAACATGTTTCCTACAAATAGGCTATTCTTGGGCACCCCCTCTCAGTCCACTGAAAATCACTTAAGAAAATATTGTTCCAACAATGCCTAGTTTCTGTTTCATCACATTTTAACCAAGTCCAGAGAGACTGTATTTTATATTTTTTCTGAATAAACAGTGAAGCATAGTGGCCATTATTCATCATAGTTGCATACACTCAAATCTGATCATAGAATTTGTAAAACAATTTTGTTACTCATCAATTTCATCTTTGGTGCATCTGTATGATCAAACTCACGTCTGGTAGGAGTGTGTGTAAATTTGAGCACAATAGCTTAACAGTATGCGGTTAACGAACCAAAACTATTATCCGTATCATCTATAATACCAATAATAGGAATTAAAATAGAAAATAACTATAATAATAAAAATTCCTGCACATGCCAATCCAGTACAAAAGTGAATGTACTTATTTTACATGCGCACCGGTATAAACAAACTCTGCAACTATTTCATGCTCAACTTAAAGACATATTACACTGTGCTTTTGTTTTTTTTGTTTGACACCACCCAATAAATAAAAAATACAAAACGCAGCTAGTGCACATACACACATATGGACTGCAATAATACAGCACTTGTTATTGTAGGGAAATATTCACACTACACAATCGCATGAGTCTGCCAATCTTCTGCCAAAGAGTAAAACTTACTTTTAACACTATGAAGTTTGGTCTGTAGGGGGAGCAGTGCACTTACTGCTCAACTTCACACTACAAGCACAGTCATTGGCTTGGGAAGCCCTGAATACTGAGGTTTTATTAGCTCCCTACTGAAACATATGCATGAATTAGGGTGTGTGTCATGTAAACAATATGTAACTGAGGTAGACTGGTGTTGATTTCATGCACTGAAGCTAATTCATCATTTATGCTCAAATCTCCACCCATTTTCATGTTGTAAGAAAGTTTAATGAGTCAGACGCCATTATACATCATTAAAGGCGGATAAATCGGCAATTTACACAACTTTGATGAATAAAAAACAGTGTCACTGATGCAAAGCATCACTCTTATTCCCTGTGGTAATTTGCATGACTTAAACTTTCACTATAGCCAAGTCTGTGAGGTACTTCACGTCTAAAAACGAGAAACACGAAAGGTATACAATTCATATATTTGCTGCCTTAATCCTGAATAAGTTTACAGATGCTATGATGAAGCTGAGACATCCATATATTCAATTAACTTACTCCCGACCTCCCCATGGTGCTGCCCCCAGGTTTGTTTTAAAGATTACTGAATAATTAAACCAATACGATGTGTTATTTAAAAAAAAAAGGTTTTCTGGGAATTTCACAGTTATAGACGCTGGGGAAGGATTTTTTTATGTAGAATCTCTTAGATTTTTTTATTGACTGTTGTTAACAATTGCACATAGTTAAATGTGTGAAACTCAAAAAAAATAGAATTTGTCTACTTTAACCTGCATGGCATGTTGTCATAAACAACAAAGAAAATGTGCCAATTTATGTAAAATATTTTGAAAAGCAATTGTATAACCCCTCTGTCACCGCTGAGGGCTAGACACTGTTAGTCATGCTCTAAAGCAAACATGAAATCTGTTTCAAGTGCAACAGTCATTCAGTAGCAGTAATTAAAATTTTATAAGACATTGCTCTTCCGTTTGATACCTCAGGCAAACTTACCGCTGGTTTTAAAGGTGAAGAGACTGGGGGAGAGGTTCCCCCTGGAGAGAGAGAAAGAGAGAAGATGATGAACAGTACAGTCATTGATCGATCAGTCTCCTCACCACTAATGCTGACAGCCTCAAGGACAAAAAGAGAAAGCAAACAGTGCACTAAGAAACAAATCTGCAGATGAATACAATTTTTCCCTGTGAGTAAATGGTAAGTAAGAAGGAGAGAGAGGATGAACAACAGCACAGCTGTGATTACTCACGCTACAGAGGTGACATTGTTGGCCAGTGTGCTGTCATAGTGTGGGATGCCTTTGCTGCTGACCACACTGACCGCGCCCCCCAGCGTGTTTGACACCACACCAGCATGGATGCCAGCCAGACAAAGGGGTGAGGACTAGAGACAGAGAGAGAGAGAGAGAGAGAGAGAGAGAGAGAGAAAGAGAGAAAGTAACAAGTGTAATCACTAATACAACTAATACAACGCTGATCATCATAGACTCAACAACACGAAATAAACTGAAATCCAGTCTAATCATCAAGATTAAGATGAAAATCAAATTCTTTATTGCCACACAACATCAGTGGTGTTTAGATTCAGTGCAGTTTTGTGTGTGCATAATCCACAATAAATAACAAGCAATATAATAAATAGTAGTAAATAAAGTTCCAGTCAACAGTCACAAACTAGACAACATTAGAAAGAGGTGTAACATAATAATGACTGTAAACTATTACAGTGAAAACATTGAGCGCAAGTACATATTTTTTTCCTGTACCTAAAAATTTAAAATCTTCAGGGCATCATCATCAACATGACAGAGCACACCTGTCACTCCCCACAATTCAATAATCCCTTACAATGTTCGCAAGTCTGCTTCATATTCATATTTAACTTTTAGTCTGCCTGCCACAGAGAGCTCTCTCTCAAGCAGAGAAAGCAGAGAGTGTGAGAGAGTTGATGCTGACTTAATGAGCCTTAAGCCGAGAGAGGGAGAGAGGGGGGGGGGAGAGAGAGAGAGAGAGAGAGAGAGAGAGAGAGAGAGAGAAGGAGAGGGGGAGGGGGAGAGGGAGAGAGAGGGAGAGAGAGAGAGAGAAAGGGAGAGAGAGAGAAAGGGAGAGAGAGAGAGAGAGAGAAAGGGAGAGAGAACGAGAAAGGGAGAGAGAGAGAGAGAGACAGAGAGAGAGATAGAGATGATTTGGCTGATGATGTCACGTCCCGGGAGTGAAGCCACAGTCGAACTATTCTAGCTGATATGATGTGCTGTAGCGGGTTTGAAGTGTCATCAAAGAGCCACTCAGACCTTTCCATAGAGTTCAGCTTTAATTATACACACACACACACACACACACACACACACACACACAGAGAGAGAGAGAGAGAAAGGCAGACAGATGGAAAAAACACACGTACAAACACACAAAAACACACACGCACAATTCCCATAAGCACTGCCAGACTAGTGCTGGAATTAGACGAGCTGCCTGTTAAAAAAACTGACATTTCTCGCACTCTTGCTCTCTCACTCTCTTCTTTCCTTTTCTCAATCTCTCAATAGTGCTTTATTGGCATGAATGTAATGAAATACCCTGTTGCCAAAGCAGTTAATAAGAAACACATAAAAAATAAGAAAAAGATGATATAGATTATAATAGAACACTATACGTTATTTACAGGGTTGTTAGTAATCAAAAAAAAAAGAAAAGGAAAATAAAAGAGTCAAGACAAACTTCATAAATATATAATAATCAATAAAAATCAATATCAGTTTCTCACTAGTTGTCCCTCAGGTTGTGACAGGCGGTCACGTATCTTGCTGCGTGTGTGATTAGCTCGCTCTTCTGTTCCAACACATACGGCAGTTTCTCAGAGTCACTGCAGAGCTGAAACTCAGGACAGACGCTGCTCACCTTCCCATAGAACTCCTTTCTAATGGAGTCGTATCTTTTATCTATATTTTTATCTATATCAAACCTTTTCTCTCTTTCTCCATCTCCCTTTATCTCTTTGACTTTCTTTTTCTCTCCCTCTCTCATTTGTCCTTCTCCTTCTCTCTCTGTCTTTCTATTTCTCTCTATCCTTTTCTCTTTCTCTCTGTCTTGTCTCTCTCTCTCACACTCTCCCTTGTTCTTTGTCTTTCTCTCTTTAATTCTTTCTTCTCTCTCTCCTCCGTTTTGCCTGTCTCTAATTTTCAATGTCTCTATTTTTCTCTACCTCTCTGTCTGTTTTTCTCTATCCTTCTCTTTCTTTTCATCTCTGTCTTTTTATTTCTCTGTTCCTCTGTTTCTCTCGTTCTCTTCTCTCAAACTCTATCTCTCTTCCACTGTTTCTCCGTTTCTTTCTCTCCGACTCTTTCTTGCCTTGTCTTTGTGTTTTCTCCTTCTGTCTTCTTTTCGTTTCTTTTCTCTCTCCCTTTCTTCCTCTTTATCTCTTTCCCTTCTCCCTCTTTTTCTCTAAATTTCTTTCTTTTGTCTCTCTCGATCTCTCTCCTGCTCTCTCCCTCTCTCACATTCTTTTTCTATTTTTCTTATTTTACTCACACTCTCTCTTCTCTTTCTGTTTATCCTTGTCTTCCTCTTTTTTCTACCTCTCTTTCTCTCACACTCTTTTTCTCACACTCTCTCCTTCTTTCTCTTTTCTCACTTCCTGTCTTTCCCTCATTTTCTGTCTCTCTTTTTCTCTCCTCCCTCTCTTTGTCTATCTCTCTCTCTCTCTCTCGCTCTTTCCCTGAACCATAGATCGACCACAGACACCAGGCAAACTCTCAACACACACATACACACACACCGCTAAACACACACCACTTCCTATTGGCAAAATAAAAACACCACCAGCTTCAGCTGCTGAGCGCTATGCACATGTACTATGGGCCGACATTAATGTTGAGGTAGTATGAGCTGTAGAGGCCTAATTCTGCTGTCAGCTGGTCTGTATTACAACACTGTTCAGCCAAATTCTGACCTAACATCTCCCACAGAGACTCTCTCTCTCTCTCTCTCTCTCTCTCACACACACATACACACAAACACACATAGCATATAAACACATACACTCTACTTATACAAATTACACACACACGAAGTAACTCAAAACTCCAAACCCAAAATGAGTTAACCTAAAGAGCTCATATCATGAAAAAATTAACATCATCATATTTTGTTAAACAAAGAAATTGATATATATGATTGAGTTGATGCAGTGCATAAACACAGGTACAGTATTAAAGCATACCATTCACTCCCCAATCTATGAACAGTCCCTATATGGAAAACCTAGCTGCTAAAAGGCCATTTGTCATTCACTGTTTTTGTGATACATTTACATAAATCTGCCCACTGAAACTAGAGCAGTTTAGCCCCACCAGTCATACTGAAGTTACAAAGAGTGTTTCAGCTCAGACTGCTTTTTGAATAAGGTACAACCAATCAAAACAGAGAGACCACTAGTGAAAATGCTTTTATTTTGCATTCCTTGCTAATTTAATAGAAAGATTTTAATTTCAAATAATGTTATCAACATAACAAATGTGAAATATTTACATGAATATCAGAATTTCTTCTTATTTAGTTTGTCCTTCAATCATAGTGCGCACTCAACAGGCACATACTCCACAAGTTTGTGCAAAACTATTTGAAGAGTAGAACAAATGCTCCGGATGCTCCTGAGAGTCGTCTGAACACATGCTTCACTGGAGATAAGACTTTGCTTAGGAACCTAGAAATAGTGCAGAATCCTAAACATATCTTCTTCATTTTACTTGTCATATTTTTTCTTTGTTTTAAACATTCAATATGCTCAAATGTTCTGTGGTTTACTTCCAAGTTTACATGAAAGAAAACCCAGATTTTCATTCAATTTTTGGATGACCCCACTGTGTATCAGTCTTAAAACCACAGTAATAAAAAGATCCAATTTCCTCTCCTTTCAAATCTAGGATATGGGTCTTTTTAAGAAAGTTCAGTCCTTTGTCCTTATCCACCGCACCCCCCCAACACACACACCCTAACTGCACCCAAATGGGCTAAATTCATTATTTCAACCATGGAGAAAAAGCTACAGATTTTACTCCACATGTGCCCCCTTGAGAACAGTCAACCACACCCATAATGAAGTCATCAGCCTGGGACAATTAATGATCCAACATCCAGCCAAGACAGCATGAGGTCATCACTCATAGACAGTAAGAAGGAGCAGATAGAATCAAAGGGCTTTAGTCACTGTGTGCTGTGTGTATGTGTGTGTGTGTGTGTGTGTGTGTGTGTGTGTGTGTGTGTATACAGTGTACTTACGTCTCTGTAGCCATGGGGGATGGTTCCAGACACCACACCAAAATCAGTCAGACACCCCGCAGGACAAAACTTACTGAAGAAAGACACAGAAAATGAGCCTTGTACACACACATGCTTGCATGCATGCTTAAATATTTCAGAGTGTACCTGAATTCAGCTTCAGTGAAGTCATTTCCTTTCTCCAAACAGGTGATCAGATCTGGACAAAGAAAGAGAGGACAAAAAACAACAACTATTTTATCATTCAGTGTTTTTCCCTGTCTAAGGAGCACTTTCTTTCTGTCTCTCTCAGAACATAGGCGCGTGTCATTTTGCCACCTCTAGGCAAAACATCATTTTGCTGCTGCTGACCGATTTGGCACATCACAACGAATATTCATATTGATAAGCTAGCATATACTTTCAACACTTGTTACACAGGCTAGTTAAATGTACATGAACCAGTCTACCAAATTAGTTCAAACTGCAGTCCCACAGTAAAAACTATTTAAAAAACATTTACGTATTCAGACCTTAGATATTTACTAAGACTATGTTATGATAAATTTAAACCCAAGGCATTAATTAACATACTAATAAGCTACATATATACAAAATCATCATTTATACGGTACTTTCTATTGAGAGGTAGCTGTTCCAAACCCCATCTATTTATAGAATAATACAATTTTTCACAAGTGAATGACATACTGAACATATTGAATGAGCTCCATAAGAAGTGATTGATGCTTAATTGAGCATTTTCCATTAACAAACAGAAACTATGGCGCCATTATTGCCCCACCCCAAAAAAATCCTACAGTTTCCACTGAGCATACAGTGGCCTATTGGCACTAAAGCCTAGAGACACACAGATCAGCCATGATATTAAAACCACCTGCTTGTATCTACACCTACCTTGTCTGTCCACCGTTACATGTAAAGTCAGAGACAGTAGCTCTTGTAGTATCTCTTGCTGCACAGTTTGTCTTAATCATCAGTCCTTCATTAGTGGTCGCCTTCAGGATGCTGCCCATAGGACGCTGCTGCAGGACAAAATTGGTTGGTGGTCTATTCTCAGTCCAGCAGTGACACTGGAACTGCTGTGTCTGATCCACTCATACTAGCACAACACACACTAACACACCACCACTAAGTCAGTGTTACTGCAGTGCTGAGAATGATCCACCACCCAAATAATACCTGCTCTGTGGTGGTCCTGTGGGGGTCTTGATCACTGAAGAACAGGATGAATGGGGGCTAACAAAGTATGCAGAGAAACAGATGGACAACAGTCTGCAATTGTAGAACTACAAAGTACTCCTATATGGTAAGTTGAGCTGATAAAATGCACAATGAGTGTAGATACAAAGAGGTGGTTTTATTGTTATGGCTGATTTGTGCATCAATAAAAATGTAAAACTTCGTCAAATCGTGATCCATGTAGAAGGGATGAAGAAACAAGCACAGTACTGTTCCTGTACTGCAGGACAGGTAACTGTATGATTATGTGTATAAGGATAATATTTAGTGTGCATTCTCCAGAGACAGGGTTTATTCAAGAGTGGGCTGTCCATTCACAAAAAGCTACTGACTTAAGTTCGAATTAGTTCGAATTAATCTGTTTTTTCAATCTATGGCATCCTTTATGTTAATTTAATTTCATCATTTATTTCAGCTACATCTGACACTAAATCCAGTAAATTAATAAGGCACTTAGCCAACTTAGCCACATACCACATGTGTAACTTGATATATATTTGTGTCGTAGTTTTAGAAAATGAGTGAAATTTCACTCTTCTCTCAAAAATCATGGGATATCAGGTATTGGATGTCTAAGTTCTCCACATGCAAAGCTGCAGCATGAGCGCTTACTGGAGGTGTCCATGCATCTCTAGTTCCGTTAAGTTATGACTGGTCTATCCACATTTAGGGGCAGGTTTCAACAAAGGAGGGGGCAGGCTTATGCGGACACCTTCCTCAGCCAATCAGTGAATTTACAGAATGAATTCATAGAAAGCTTTGTGATTACTTTTTAATCAAACTCCTCACAGATGAGAATAATTTGGCACACCGCCTAGCTCGCCTACATGGACATACCGGGCCTGGTGTGTGTGTGTGTGTGTGTGTGTGTGTGTGTGTGTGTGTGTGTGTGTCTGTCTCTCTCTCTCTCTCTCTCTCTCTCTCTCTCTCATATAACACTGCTCGGTCTGTTGCCATGGTGATAGTATTGATCGTTGTCTTAATGCATAACTGAAGCAGACTATAGGTGTGTGCGTGTGTGTTTTCTGAGCAACATTCAAATTTTACTTACTATGTATTCCACATAGCTTCACCTGAGACCTTTCTGTAATGCACATATGTGTCACTGTATTAGGTTTCTTATAGAAGGTATGGAAAAACACCTCAAACAAAATTAAACGATCGATACCAGTAGTCAGAGAGACAGAGAGAGAGAGAAAGAGAGAGAGTCTGTGTGAGATGTATAAGGTATGTGTGTAAGATCTTGTGGTAGTATGAGTGATATCACATTGTCCATTACTCAAAGCCACAGCCTGGTAGTGTCTGCTTCTCTCCTGACTCATCACAAACAGGATCTCTCCCTCTCACAGGGCACAGACACCTACACACAATCTCTCTCTTTCACATTCAGTCACTCCATCACAGTCATATGCAGAAGTTTAAGCACGCTTCATCAAATTATGTTTTGTTGATTTTTGCTAAATTTAACATATGGAAAAAAATAAAACATAACGTTTTTAAAATGTGCAAAGTTATGTCACAGTTTACATGTTAGGTTTTATTGTTTTCTATGTTAAAATCAGCCAATAAATAGAAATTGTACACTAAAATTCACCATATTTAAGTTTGTTCCCTGTACATAGACATGGAGGATGTGTAATGTAATTTGACTAGGGTGTTCAAACTTTTGCATACAACACACATGGGCTCTCCTGCACACTCTATTCTTTCATGGACTTCTGACAGTGTGTACACATACACATACAATCATGTCACCACCCCCAGCACAGCTGCTGGAATTCCAGGTATGTGGAAGCTCTGGATGTACCATGCAGTACAGAGCACCTTATCAGACCAGAATGTGTGTGTGTACTGTTAATTTGTCAGAAGTCCATAAAATGACCAAATATTTGCCTTTTCATGGCAAATCCAAAACAAGTGTTGATAGCACTAAAACATTCCATTTAATCGGGCAAGAGTTGATTTGGGACCATATTGGTATCAGCATTTGACTGCTTTAAAAAATATTAGCATTGAACAGATTTGATTTTACAGATAATTCAAACATTTTTGATATTGTATTTATTTCACTCTTTTAGAGCAGAATGTTTTAGTAATACTGGGCTACTGTGCTAAAATGTCTGCATTTTATTTGTTTTACTGCATTTGTAACCCATTTGTAATTTCCTCATGAGGCTAATCCAGTACATGTGGACCCAATTTCTACATTTTATAAATGTTAATGTATCAGTATCAGCACCAGCATGGGCAGATTTGTACATGAAAAATAGTGTATATCAGCTCACAATTCCTATATGAGTGCATCCCTACATAAGTCTTCAATATTGTACTATAAAATAGCTCCACGTTGCAGACATTTACTTGTCTTTGTTAATTTCTGAAAACAAGCTTAACTTCTGTGTTTGTGGATAAGACATTTACACCACTTCAGGTAAAAAGCAGGAAAACAAGGATCAAGCTGGACAAGGTGTAATCTAGATATGTTAAAATATGCCTGGATAGGCTACAGTCCCGATAAACTGTTTGGTAAATACTATGAAACTAATAAGCAAGCTACGTTGTTACAAGAGTAAAAACTGATTTAGAGTAAACAATAAACACATATGGAATCCAGCATCGTTTCAGTAATTTGGCAAGTCACGGAAAACATACAGACATACATCACACTGCTGTTTTCTTCGTTTGCTTCCAAAATAAGTTCAATAAAATGTTTCCTGAGCCTCATGACATTGTGGTTTACTCAACCTACACAACAGCCCTCAACTGTGACATCACTTCCTTTTACTCTAATAACACGTCTTAATTCCACCTCTCTCCATTCTCCTGCTCTTCAGCTAAAAGCCAAAGTGATACAATATCATCTCTTTCAGTTTCTCCATCTCTCTCCCACCTTGCACACACAACCACGTTGGGACAAGGGATATTTTGCTGCCCATCTCTGACCGTTCAGTTCCTCCCATCAGAAATATGCATAAGCAGTTACATCACACACCAAAATAGTACAGCTGAGTCTGTGGCATCTCTTTTACGCTCTCTTTCTCCCCGTAATCAGTTTCACATGAGGCCCCTCCCTTTCATCTTTATAAACACACAAAGCAATTGTCTTGGCAACTCCTACGTGAGCCTCAGGAGAGGTACAGACTCAAAGCTGATGCAAACACACACATGCAGCTGATATCACTGAAACCCATTCCAATTCTTTCTGGTTCCTGTTCAGCCTCCCATAAACAGAAGCTCACAAGATGAATGCACAACGTCATACTACCAGCTCCCACTGAATGTCCATCCAACAATAACATATCAAGGACATATTTTAATAGAAAGTAGTTTCGATCTTTTTCTTTGCAACAAACTGTAAAACTGAAGGAACAACTGACAAAAGCAATAGTTTAGGAATAACACAATGCTGCTGCATTTTTCCCCTCATTGCTATGTTGTAACGTTTTGGGTCTTTAAGCCACCTTTCCTTAAAATTATTTTGAATAACAGTTTCTAAAACAAAATGTCAAATCATTTCTAAAGCAAAACTCTTCATAGCAAGGAAGATACTGTGCTTTGGTGAACATGAGGCTGAGTGTCATACTCAAATTATTACTATATAGCTGTTCAATATTTAAGTGTATTCTTTGTTAATAATGAAAATTAAAAATTTCACATCAAATAATTTTAAAATTATACACATCATTTCAAAACAGAAATGTTTTTTATCACTGTTACTATTTTATCACATCATTGATTGTTAAATCAGAAATTGTTAAACAATTTCATCATCATATCGTGGAGCATTTCTTTTGTTTTTGATTAGTATTTATTTTTAGCATTAATGTAACACTACTAAGGCTTTTTCACCAGTACTAACTTATCAAACCTCAGAAAAATTAAATAATGTTATACAAATTGTAGTGGAGTAACAACTCGTTTGCTTTCTCTATGCATCATTTATAATTTCTCCCACTGCTATTGCATCAATCATAAAAGGGAAATACTGAATACTACATTGTATGAAATTGTATTATTTGCCTGAAATATTAGGGGAAGTCTTAGTTTTTTTATATCAATATATTATTATCAATTGAATTCATTGTAATAAACGAGCTTGGATCGCTGAATTAAATCACTGTTTAGTGTGAATTAAGAACAATTCTTGATACAATTCACACATTTTCAAATGTAAAGAATTCTAATAGAATCTGGCCCTATTATCGGGAGATTGGGAGTTCAATTCATAGCGATACCATCGCCATCTGTGGTCTGGAGTCCAAGAGAACATAACTGGCCTCACTCTGTCTGGGTGGGGTGGGACTCACTCCCTCTCCCCCCAACACTTAATGTGGGCATATGTTAGCTAACGCTACAGAATGGGCAGCACACATTCTTCTCCAAGGGCATTGAGCAATCTAGTGACATTACATTATCAGCAGTTCGAAAAGATGCATGCTAGCCTTCACCCTCCCAGCAAGGTAGCATTGTATTTTGGGGGGCAGACCTACATAGTAATTGAGGAGAAAATTGGGTAAAAATCCCACCCCCAAAAAAAGGAATTCACACCCCGACCATATTGTGCATTATGAAAATATCTTCAAGTAACAGGATACTATATTTATGCTACATTGCCTACCCCTATCACGGTCATCATCACGAAGACCCAAAACAAATAGAGTGGACTTCTACCACTCCCTAAAACACAAGGCTAATTAGTATCCAATGTGGCACTACAAATAGTGTGTCAGTGCATATCTAGCTGTGACGGTGCTGGAAGTGGGGGGTTTCTTGGAGCAGAGTGGGGGGTTTTACCTTGGTGTTTGCTGCTGACATAAGAGAGGAAGAATCCCCGGCCATGGCTGTGAGGTCCACTCATGAACTGCACCGTGACCTGATGGCCAGCTGACTCTACCACCCTCGGCCCTCTCACATCTCCATGACACAGCTTAACTGCAGAGAGTAAGAGAGAGAGAAATATAAAAAGGAAAGAAGGAAAGAAAGAAAGGAAGAGTGTAAACATTTATTATATACTGTAAACCATATTTAATTGGTTCACAGACAAGTGCAGCAACTATGTGTTATTACACATTTAGTACAACTGTGAGCACATTCTACCTTTTCTTGTGTTGGTTATTTATCTAATGGGTCTGTTCCACTGGTAAAGAGCACAATGATAGGGATGCAAATAGTTCTGAATTTGAAAGGAAAAAACAGCTGAAGCCTGTCACTACACGACAAGGCATCGAAAAAAAGAGGACCGGGTGCTCTTCATACAACCATTACTTGAATAAAGTATTTGGAAATAGAGACATTAAGGAAGACATCACGAAAAGCTTTCTATACTCTGCTGACTGACAGGAAATCCATAATTTACTGGCACACTCTCAGATTCTCAACACCAAAAATATCTCTGCCGCATTTGATTACAACACAGTTCACCAGAAACTGTGCACACCTTTCTCTTCTAATGAGTTCTGTCTTTTACTGTGGAGTCATTTATTTTTCCCAAATCATGAACATCCTCCTCCAGCAAATCTGCTTGATTAGTTTAAAGTACGGACTGCTGATTTCAAGTTAGCGTGCCTGTTAGCACACTGTTTAATACTTTTAAGTCACAGTTAGCGCTGGCAGTAGCATGCTATAATTCTACACTGTGCTAACTTCAACCATTTATCGAAGTACCTTTAAGGCTGGTAAAGCTGTGGTTACCAATCATCCTCCTGTCTACCTTTCTGAGGAGAAAATTGGATAAAAATCCCACCCCCAAAAGAAAAGAATTCACACCCCGACCATATTGTGCATTATGAAAATATCTTCAAGTATCAGGATACTATATTTATGCTATATTGCCTACCCCTATCACGGTCATCATCACGAAGACCCAAAATAAATAGAGTGGACTTCTACCATTCCCTAAGACTGAACATCTATAGAATCTCCAAGAACTACTCACTAAGTACTTCAACAACAAAAAAAACTTTTCCATCAGTAGAGGTACTTATGGTGTCAGGGGCTACAGCCCTTTCTATCAGTTTGATTCTGAGTTAGTGTGGCACACCATGTAATCCTTAGAAGTCACAGTTACCACTGGCAATAACATGCTGTAATTAATTATTTGTCACTTGTAGCTGATTGAAACAGCAAGGTTATGTTAAGAGTTTGGATTTTAAACTTTCAACTGATAATGTATTTGTGAATAAAAGGGATTTGTATTTGACTAAAAGGAGTTGAGTTTTGTTTTGTGGGGAAAAAAAAACAACATTTTCAATTTTTTTGTATATTCATAATTTTTTATTATCAAAAACAATGGGAAAAGTTCAGACTCAAAATTCTTAATACAAAAAATACAAAATATAAATGCAATTGATAATATAACAGCATAATTAATGGTGTTATTGCATTTAAATAGAATAGCAAGATGTAAACCTGTAGGCTTCTATGCTCCAAAGGGAGTTACACTAGCATCCCCATTTATTAACTAAAATAAAAATAAAATTAATTTAATAAAAATATTTTAATAACTGCAAGACATGACTGCTACAAAAGCCATGCTTTTTCGTGTTCATGTGTGTCATTTTGCATACGTTAATCGGCTTTGCTACAGAATTTTCAGTCCGGTCCACTGAAATACTTTGCTGGTTCCACATTCAAACCATGGCATGCTAGTTGATGATCCCTGCCCTAGACTTTAGAGAAGTGTTTGGATATTTCTCAGACTTAAACATCATAAAAAGTTACATCTGGGTGACTAGGTATTGTGTAGTCCTTGTCACTCATAGACACATTTCAGTTTTTTTTGAGTTCCTGCCATTCACGTCTATTGCTGTAGATCTCCCAACACTCCAGTTCCTCACATAAAGTAAGGGTTGCAGTATACTGTGAATGACTACAGTGTAAGAATGAAGAACAGAATAAGTTAAAGCAGAAAACACCTCTTACCGATTTCTGTCCTGCCTGCTCCGATGCCGTTGAACAGCCGCAAGTAGGACACCTGGCAGTTTTGTGTGTGGATATCGAGGTCGGCCACGCGCAGGACGAGCGTGTCTCCCGCACTCACACTGATCTCCCACTCGCAAACTGAGTGTGTCGGGTAAGACAAAGGATAGCCCAGAGATGCTATACTGCCACTGCCTGTCCCAAGCACAGTGTGCCCACAGCCATCACCTACAACACACATATACCCAAATGAATAACAGAAATACCACAAGGTGCATGGCAAACCTGTCTCTGTGTCGAATTAGTGTTTCTAACTTTGGTAACTTTGGTAATCACTGCTTTATAACATCTTTGTAACATCTTTGAAAATCTGAAAAAGGACTACCGCAAGTGCTATCCTATCACCAGTGTACAACAAACCCCACATGTATCTCCAAAATGCCTCTACAGGAGAAGGCAAAAATTATCTTACATATTAATGTAAATTCAAGGGTCTATTTCATGGAAAAAAAAAAATGTCCCTGGCTAATTTTGAAATTAAAAAGTCCACAGTAATATGTAAACACTGTTAAAGTTGATAACTTACCACTTACTACCCAGTTCATACAGTTGTATTTTGAATTTATTGTTTCTGTAATCACGAGAACCAACTCATTTACACATATCCACATATTCAGCCTACAGCAGTCTAGCCCCACCCACCCATAATGAAGTCTGAAGGAGTGTTTCAGTTCTGAGTAATGTTTGAATGCAGCACATATGGGACAGCCTATCAGAACAGATGCAACACTTTCCAAAAAAAGTTGGGACAGGGGCAATTTAAGACTACATCTTACAAAGGTGATGCAGTTATGCTTGGGTATAACAGGAGCATCCAGTAAAGGCCTAGTCCTTTATGAGCAAGAATGGATTGAGGCTCACCACTCTGCCAAAAATGCATCAGCAAAAAATCCAACAGTTTAAAAATAACATTCCTCAGCCAGGGATTGCAAGAATTTTAGGTATTTCACCCTAAACAGTGCATAATATCATCAGAAGATTCAGGGAATCTGGAGAAATATCTGTGCAGAAAGGAAAAGGCTGAAAACCCTGAATGTGTGATCTTCGATCCCAGAGATGGCACTGCATTAAAAACCAGCATGTTTCTGTGATGGATTTCACCACATGGGCTCAGGAACACTTTGACTAACCATTGTTAATAAACACTGTTCATCGCTGCATCAACAAATGCAAGTTAAGAAGCCAAACGCCAATAGCATCCAAAAACACCACAGATCTCTCTGGGCTTGAGCTCTTCTGAAATGGACTGATGCACAGCGGAGATGTGTACTGTGGTCTTATGAGTCAAGCATTTAGATTGTTTATGGAAATCATGGATATTGTGCTCTCCGGACCAAAGAAGACAAGGACTATCCAGACTGTTACTAGTGTAAAGTTCAAAAGTCAGCATCTATCATGGTATGGGGTTATTCTTGGGTGATCTGCACATCTGTGAAAGCACCATTAATGCCGATCACATTTTGGAGTAACATATACTGCCTTTTAGTTGCCATCTTTTTCAAAGACGCCCATGCTTATTTCCACACGAGAACACCAAACCACATTCTGCATGTTACAACAGCATGGCTTCGTAATCGGAGAGTTTGGGTGCTAGACTACCCTGCCTGCAGTCCAGAACTAGGAAGGGAATCTTTAGACACCTCACGATTTTATCACTTTTTTCTCTATACAGGATTTCTATCTTCCTACTGTCTAAAAAAAGGGGATTTTAAAGCAAAGTATTTGTAATGATCCATAATGTAAATGTATTATGGATCATTACAAATACTTTGCTTTAAATATCTAAAATATCTTTTATTAATAAATCAAATGGAAGTGATGTGGCAAGTGAACTAGAAGGCTCTCATTCAGAGACGCTACTGCCACTCATCTGCGATAAAATGCGCTGTTACCCTGAAATAAGATCCAGTGGTAATGGGTGTCCACGCAGCACGTTACAGCCATCCTTCCCGACTGGACGCTGAATCTCGGCTCCAAAGTGTGCAGCATAGCGCGAAAGCCCTGGTTCTCAACGACTGAGAACAGATAGCAGACAGCAGGTCACATAGCCCCGAAGTCTGGCCTCGCCAGCAGCGAACGAAGAAATAGAGATTAAGATGAACATTTGGAGGACTATTCGCATTTATAAGCAGCGCGGTTGGTTAAATCTACAATGAGGGACTGTCTTTCTCTAAAAAGTTGCTAAAATGAACTCCCTTCTCTTTCGAATTTTCCCGTTCCACCTTAAATGGTGCAGCAGTTACATTCGGCGCCTAAAGCAGAATTTAAGGTGGAACGGGAAAATTAGAACGAGAAGCTGGCGAATGAGAAGCGACTTCAGCCTCGTAAAACAGCCGGATGCTGAGACATTTTACAAGAAACTCTTCTAGTTTTGAGGAAAAGTTTTCTGGCGGAGATGGAAGGAAGGCGGCTGTAGCCACAGCTTAAAGCAGAGCAAAGTAAATCTGCGCTCTCGTTTCTATTCTTAGCCCATACTAGGACATTAATACATACTAAGACATACTGGGCATTAAATGTTGTGGCTCCTGAGGTGGTTTGACTTTGTTGAAAGGACAAAATGGCTCTTCTTATCATTTGGGTTGTGACTCCTGATCTAACCTGGCTTTAATGCAGGGGGAGCCGGTTGGATTTCTCACTCATCCAGCTGTGTTTTTGTTATGTGCCGCAACAGACTTTTTTAAAAGCACAGGAGAACAGCTTGTTTCATGCTAAAGGGAAAAAAATATGAAGAATGGTTCACAAAACCATACAAATGTTGAAGGGAAAAAATAAAACACAACAAAAATGTAAGATATGGGCCTTTTGAAGATAAAGAGATTTTAATTAAATAATTCTGGAACATTTCTATTGGTCCATTCATCATAAAATTGTCACACTGTAAAGAGCAGCTGATGTGTTAATTAAAAATGGAGATAAATGTTTTAATACACAGTGACAATAGCTAAAATATTCACCTACATTCATGCAAACATGCACAAAACATGTACATTACTTGCAGTTCTTTTATTGCTATAGACTAAAACTTCTTCATAGTTTGAAATATGGTCTCTGCAGATAAAAGCATTATAAAGCATATATAGTGTCATTTACAGTGAGGCACCTGACATGACCTGAAACCTATTTTTGTGTCAATGATTAACCTTTGCTCCACAGTACAAGTGCTAACTTCAGTCATTCATCTGAGTGGCTTTGAAGCAGTGGTCATTAACCCTTCTTCTGAAGATCTACCTAACTGCAGGTTTCACCTCCAACCCAACTCTAACACACCTCATTCAATCGATCAATTGTACTTCTATAATAATTAGATGCATCAGGCGGGTTCGATTAAGGTTAGATCTAAAGTCAGCAGGACGGTACATCTCCAGAAGCAAGGTTGGTAGCCACTACTTTTAAAGAAATGGTCAGCACTTTTCCTTCATTCAGAAATACCTATAGAATCACCAAGAGCTACTCACTGTGTACATAACAAAAAGAAGGAAGTAGAGATGCAGTACTGCTTGTTATCTGTGTAATACAATGGGCTTTCAGTAGAGGTACTCAGTTAATGGATCATAAGAAGCTCGGATCTTCTGCCGACCTTCCTATCAAATTTGTGCCTCTCTTGTACAGCTGAAATGAGTGACCACACAGTCAACTGCTATGAGAGATTTTTCTTGCAACATCAGCACAAAGCACCGTTAAGTGGATATCTCATCTCTGGTTTCTGCCTTCCCTGTGCGCATACATACATACACACACATACACACACACACACACACACACACACACTGGCGAGATCCCAGCTGATCGCACAGCCTGTCACGCGTTTACACACCGAATGAATCTCTTCTCGAGCTGAGCTGCTGTTACGTAACCACCACTGGACAATGTCCAGGCCCCTAAAGCAAAAACATCCTCATGTACCCCTCCAAGTTCACTGCACACACTCACACACACATAAGATACACCTCCTGTTCACATCTGTTTTATTTTAAGACTGATCCATAAACAGTGCTGTTAAAAATGCTGGTGAAGTTTTGGACGACGTCTTAGAAACAAGGAGATAAAGCAGCAGTTCCATTCACTCTGAATTCTACCGCTCCTTCTGCTTCACGCGTCTATTGCACTGTTTACCGTTATTGCCACAGTCAGGCCCTTCCCCCTGAGCTCTCTACTCGGCCAAATGGTGCGACCCCCCTCCTCTCATCACCACCTGAAAGCCTCAACTGACTCCTTCGCAAGGCTGTGTGGCAAATCTTTGATTATCCCTCAGAATGGCCATAGTGTCCTGTTCTAAGAGCTGCAGCTACATATTTGGGAGAGGGGAGAGAGGAGAGAGGACAGAGAGCGGCCAGCCCATGTAAGGCATTGAGCGGGGTCTCCACATTCAGCATCTCGGTGTGCTGAGTTGTGAAACCGCAGCTCCAGGCCCTTTCGGAGCATTTAGACAGGCAAAGTTTGATCAACCTCCGCGGAGAGTCCGCGCCCAGCTCAGACTACCTTACCTTTCTGCGCCCGTGATCCTCTGGCGGAGAAGAGGATGATGAAGAAGAGGCCGGTTCCTCTCCCCAGCATTAGCGCTGTGTCCATCCCGGCCAGTCCGCCTGCATAATGCGCGCTTTGGGCAGCAGATCCGCGCTCCGCGGATTCAGGAGCTCTGATCCGCCTCCGTCTGTAGCGGCCTGCTGCGGCTCTCCGGCCACAAACCGGGGAGACACGGCCAAACTTCCGGCTCAAAATGCGGCCTCCAGTGGACGAACACGGTACTGCAGCAGGGACACGAGGGAATAATATAGAGAGGGCGTGGTTTAGCGGAGTAATGGATCAGGCGGCTAAAGTGGGTATGTAGAGAGGGGTCATGGCTTAGCAGGGTAATAAGAAGGGCTGCGGCTTCAGTAGTAACAGCCAGATTGAGGTTTTAACAGGGCAATGCAGAGAGGGTTTAGCAGGCTATAACAGATGGGGAGGAGTTTAGCTGTGTAATACAGAGAAAGGGAGGGGGATTCGAGAGGTTTATTGGCTAGTACACATTTTGGGCATGTAAAGTGAGGTGGTAATGCAGAGAAAGAGAGGGGTTTGGTGGGGAGACACGAAGAAGAGAAGTTTTTAGCTGGGTAATACAAAGCAGGGGAAGGTTAATGGAGTAATGCTGGCAGGGGCTTAAAGGGGAATTTCACTGATTTTTCATAATTGCTGTATATTTAAAGGTTTAGGACGTAAAGTCATTCAGAGTGTTTTGATGTGAAATGCTCAGTTATAGAGAAACGTACCAAGTCAGAATTGTTCACTGTGATGGTTATAGGAACCAGATGTCTAAAGAGTAATTAGTGCCTTTAAAAGATCCCTCTCAGAAGGTTATTACATGAAATGATTATGAATGGTGGATCGGTATAGAGTCCCGAAAAGAAACAATTTTTTACCCCTGATTTACTATTATTTTATCATCATCGGCATTACATATAAAACCTGAAAGAGGCATGTAGGTTTACCGGAGGTTTTGGATAGAAAATAAAATGGCTATATTTATGTTGTAGACATCATGCCCCTGGTTTCTATCACCACCACTATAAAGAAATCAGGCAGCAATGAACCATTTCACATCAAAACACTGAATGACTTTGTTACAATCTCAGCCATTGAATTATGCAGGACATTTGAAAAATCAGTGGAAATCCCCTTTAAGATGTTAATACAGAGACAAATAAATAAGTGGGAGGAGGTCTCTGTACTATCTAAACAGTACTTACCCAAACAAATGACTAAATAAACAAGTGAATAACACTTAAATATAAATAATCTAAATCTAAATAAATCTAAAATCTAAATAAATGCCTAGTCCAAATAAGGTAAATAAATACAACAGATTGCAGAGAGTATTTCCTAATAGCCTCCTTCTGACATAAAGATACAAAGTACTAACAGATTCTCATCAAGTGATTCTCACCAGTGATTCTCAGTCCTGTCACTAGGAACCCCATGATGATCTATACCATTTTTTATGTCTTTCCAGCTCTAACAGACACAATTCAACCCATCAGGTAATTATTAATTGCTAGACATAAGTCATATGAAAGAGTAGGACAAACAAAAAAGCAGGGTGAACAAAATGCAGTATCAGTGGTTTTAAACTTGCCTTTCCAAGTTAAACTGAACTTACATTCACTGTAAAAGAGAGAGTGTAAATAAATGATCATCATATTAAAAGAGTAAATGCAATCCAAAGAACTTGATAAAACTGGAAATAATTTAAGAGGGGGAGACACAGCAATCCAAGCTGTGGGAGAGAGACAACGGCTAAAAGTGCTACAAAGAGGGCAAAATGGCTTAGTCATTAAATGTATTTACAAGATATTACCCTCAGAAGGGTCTAGCTGCAGTTCTTCTGTATCCTGTCCTTCTAAAAGTATGAGATAGTATCATCCTAGCCCCACAGAGTCAGACATAAAGCATATAAGCGCATCATGAAGATAGTTTAGTAGTGGTGGAAATTTGTCTTGACTGTGCAGGCCTAGAGGACAAAATGTCAGCCTGATATTTATGGAGAGAAGAAAGTGCGCAGGCCTAGTGGACTATTCTTTATCAAAAGTCCCTGCCGGAACCAATTACTGTCTCTTCCTCCAAAAAAACAATCTCTCTCTCTCTTTCTCTCTCTCTCTCTCTCTCTCTCTCTCTCTCTCTCTCTCTCTCTCTCTCTCTGTGTCCTTGGCATGCCTATGTAGTGAATCAGAGTCCTTCAGCTACAAGTGCTATCTTATCAGTTCTGTTAAAGTGTCTACACAGACGTGTGTGTGTGTGTGTGTGTGTGTGTGTGTGTGTGTGTGTGTGTGTATGTGCGAGTCAGTGAGTGAGTGAGTGAGTAAGAGAGAGAGGGGGAGACAGAACATGCACAGCAACACTCCCTACACTGAAATCTCCTGCGCCCTGAAGCGGTTTGATTTTTTAAAGCAAAGCCTTTAGCAGCACATGAGCGCCACAGAGTGGAAAGGATGATAAACTGCAGTCTGTAAAATCAGTCCCAGTTAAACATCAACATAAAACATTTGCTTCTATGATGTTTTTTAATCATTTATTGATCTGGTTTATTAATCAAACCCTCAAATCTAATCAAAGCTAATACTGACTGTTGACTTCTGCTGCCATTATGTTCCTTATCTTGTCTGAATGTGTCAAAGTCTTCTTTAGTAACTCTATATCTTGTGTTTTATGGTCTGGTATTTCACACAAACTCAAAATAAACATGAACTTCTTTCCAAACAAATCACATAAATAATCTCTCACAAAGCTTGCATGTTGTTGTTTGTTCCAAATACCTATTTTGACAATGATGTCTATACTGAGTAATTTTTCAAAATGTTAATTTCGGTTTAAATCTATGGTGCTGAATGTGATCTTTAAAAACTACAGCCTTTACAAAATGTTTTTAAAACTTCACCAGTCTCACCAATAAAAGCCGATTTATACATGTTAGTGGTCCATTCTATCATCCACTCTGCATTTCACTGTTACAATCTATCATACACTCTGCATTTCATGGTTACAGTCTATCATCCACTCTGCATTTCACTGTTACAATCTATCATACATTCTGCATTTCATGGTTACAGTCTATCATACACTCTGAATTTCACTGTTACAATCTATCATACATTCTGCATTTCATGGTTACAGTCCATCATCCACTCTGCATTTCATTGTTACAATCTATCATCCACTCTGCATTTCACTGTTACAATCTATCATACACTCTGCATTTCATGGTTACAGTCTGTCATCCTCTCTGCATTTCACTGTTAATTTCAATCATTTAGTGATCTTTTGTGCCTTGTGGATAGGGGTATTGTCATCCTAGAAGTAACCACTTGCTGCAGATTGAAATGTTTCATCATAGGATAGGGGTGATCAGAATGCATCAGTACTGATACTGGTATCAGGTATTGGGTAATATCGTGTTCATTTACTTGTACTCATAAAAATTCACCAATACTAACATTCCAATATCAGCTGATACTGTGTGATATAAGCACAATGTACACACAAAACCCGCTCGTCTCCACTGTAACACTACTCGATCCAAGGTAAGGATCTAAGGCATGTGATTTAAAATCAGCTAAATTTAAATGATTTAACTGTTAAGATACATTACACTCATTTTCACTGACAAATACTTAATTCTAAGTAGGTTACTCAGTATCGTACTGGACTCTGTATCGAGTGAGCACTAAAAATGTGCATTTGTACTCTGAAAAAATGGTATCGATTCATCACTAGATCAATCAGAAAAACTTTGTATTGATTTGCAGTGACCTTTCCCTCTAAAGCTACAAGGAGGCCAAAATAATGACACTAAAATGCCCCACAGCATAACAGATCCACTGGACCCCCTCATTGTAGAGGTCAAGCATTCAGGCCTGTACTATTCTCTTGCTCTATGCCACACGTGCACTCGCCCACTTGTGGAAAATATAGTGAAGGATGAGGATATTTTTTTGTCATTCGTCTTTGTAAGGATCGGTTAATGTACTGCAATCCTACTATATATGCCTCTTTATGTAGTTGTGGATGGACTGTTCTTGCCAATCACATCCTGCAATGACATTCTCAGTCACATGAAGAACAGCTGCTCTCTTTTTCTTTACATGTTGCATTAATGAACAATCATCACGGTAATTGAATGTGTGCTATGGGATAGCTTTCACATAGGTCTAAATGCAGATGTCTGAGCAGCCTATGTGACTGAAGGTCCTGCCATTTGTATGCCAATAATGAACGCATTTTTAAAGTTACTTATCTTTTCCTCTTGCCAACGTGATCTGAAATTGAGGTCAACTGAGCCTGTCCAGCATTTTTATACTTGTCACAGAACATGGTAGAATGTTAATTTATCATGCAGTATACCAGTCTTTACTTTTACAGGTGTCTGTATCATATACAATTAAGTGCTACACTCTCATATACTCGCACTGTTTTCTGCTCAATAATACAACATATATTTCACCTTGTTTTCAGAGGCTAGGTTGGGATTAAGTTCAGGACTCAAGAGATTTAGTTATGGTAATATTCCGAGCAGTGGCATAACTAGGATCTTATGAGTGCCAGTGCAAAAAATAAATAATGCCACTGTATAAAAAATTACTAATATATAAATAAAAATGACTGTAATTTGCTTGTTTTGCTCGGTATTGTTAAGTGTCAAGAGCCTTTAGAGTATGGTATCGTTGCCAAGCAACCGTGGACCACTGAATTAGGAGAAGAATGTTCAGTCTCCCATCACTGTATACTGTGGTCATATCATGACCTTTTTAACTTTTTGTCTTATAATAATGAACATATCATAACATAGCACTGTTTAATGCAAAAACCTTCATTTGTAAGTATTTTTGGTCACCAAATTACCACTGTGAATCTTATATAGCATCAATTCAGTGGAACCCATCTTACCACACTGGGTTGAATCTCAAATTACTCCCTGCTCCCTACAAAGGGCATTACTTAGGAATTTAAATACTGGCTCCTGTATCCCAAAAGTGCTTGATGTAGCTAAAAGCCTGGGTTTGACGCTACTTCTGACTGAAACACGAACATCTGAAACATGTAAGCCATCATTCTTTAGGCTTTTATATTGCAGTTTTACAGTGAATCATATGATAAGTACTTTAATTCAAGCATGTGATATTGATGATGGAGTTGTTTAGCCTGTTAAATATCTTTTAGCCTGTTAGC